CCCTTCTTCCCTGCATTCAGTTCTGTCTACTCTGCCTATAGTCAGGGTAATTCTGATAGGTCTACCTTTATATGTTACTTGGCCTTTTTCCTTTGCAGCTCTTAATATTCTTTCTTTACTCTGTATGTTTAGTGTTTTGATTATTATGTGGCAAGAGGACTTTTTTTGGATCTAGTCTATTTGGTGTTCTTGTATCTTCATAGGCATATCTTTCTTTAGGTAGGGAAAGTTTTCTATGATTTTGTTAAATGAATTTTCTGTGCCTTTGAATTGAACTTCTCCTTCTTCTATACCTATTATTCTAAGATTTGGCCTCTTTATGGTGTCCCATATTTCATGGATATTTGGCGTTAAGCCTTTGTTAGATTTAATGTTTTATTTAACTGATGAGTCTATTTCCTCTCTTTTATCTTCAGCACTTGAGATTCTCTCTTCCATTTCTTGTATTCTGCTGTTCATGCTTGCGTTTGTGGTTCCTGATCTTTTTGTCAAGATTTCTATTTCTATAATTCCTTTGGCTTGTGTTTCCTTTATTTTTTTCTATCTCAGTTTTCAAGTCCTGAATAGTTTCTTTTATATGTTTGATTTCTTTTTCTTGGTTTTCTCTAAGTGATTTGGCGATATCTCCCAATTTTTTGTTTGTTTTTTCCTCCATTTCTTTAAGTTAATTTCTCATTTCATCTTTAAGAATTTCAAACATTCTCTTAAGGTTATTTTTTAGATCATTTTCTTCTGGTTCATCCATATTTGGTTGTTCAGATCTTGATTTTGTATGGTCTTTTGGTTTTACTGAATGTGTATTTTGATTAAATCCATTGTCTACTCCCTCCCCTCCAACTCTTCCAAAACCCCTAGCTGTTTTTCCCTCTTAACTTCTTGTGCTCTTTTTAAAAATCTAGTGAGTCCACTTAGCCTATGTGTGCACAGGTTAGAGCATCTGCTAGACCATGGGCAACCTCTCAGGGCTTGCAGACAAATAAAACTGACTCTTCTCCGGCAGCCATTACTTGCTAATACCTCTTCAGCTGATGGTATTGTGAGCCCCTCCTGCATCTGTGCTGCAGTTTTGACCAGTTTGGATTTGTGCTTGATGAAGTTGCAGCTTCATATTCTCTGAGTGTCTGAGTGCTGAGGGTGAAGCAGTGTGATGTAGATGCTGTATGTGGGACTGAGCATCCTACAGTCTTGAGTGCAATTTGCAAACGATAGGCTTAGTGATAAGATGTCATACTGTCATCCAGGGAGGCCCTACCATTTTTATGTTCTTCTCCTTTTTTTTTTTTTTTTTTTTTTTTTTTGTGGTGTTTCAACACAGGGTTTCTCTGTAGCTTTGGAGCCTGTCCTGGAACTAGCTCTTGTAGATCAGGCTGGCCTTGAACTCACAGAGATCCACCTGCTTCTGCTTCCCGAGTGCTGGGATTAAAGGTGTGCGCCACCACTGCCCAGCTTCTACATTTTTTCTCAATTCATGCATATTAATTATATATAGTAATAGTTTCATTTCATTATGACAATTTTCACACATGGATAAACTGCACTTTGGTCATATTCGTCCTCTATTATACTCTTTTGTCTCCTTTTTCCCACTAGTTTCCAGTTTACTTTCATACCCCTTCTTTTGGTGTTCCAGTGATTTTACTTAATCTTGCTTATAAGAACACTGGTGAGAAATTATTTACAGCAGCTTAGGCAATTTACCATTGACTACACCACTGACAAATAAGTCTCTTCCTCCTTCATCAGCCACTGTCTGCCTCTAGCTCCTCAGGGAAGGGAAGAACCTCCTGGGTCCCTCCTTTTCCCTCCATTACAGACATTGTTGGGCCCAGGCTTGTGCGGTTTGTACATGGTGATTGCAGCTACTGTGAAGTCATGACTGTGACAGCCATGCCATGAAGACAGCACTCCACAGCATCCTCTATTCTTCCCCTTTCCATCCTGCTCCCTGAGCCTCACAGAGTAGGTAATACCTAGGCCTCATTTAGGCCTGAGCATTTATTTATTTTTAGCGCTTTGGCCAGGTACAAGTCTTGGAAGTAACGTCTATCCATAACAAAAAGATAGATAGTATCACTGCTCTGTGGGCCTAAATAAATATATTTATAAGGTGATTTAATGGACATAGTATATTCATCCAGCAAAACAAAAGAGGGAGATTTCTCTACTAGGTATTTGATCTCCCCAGCCATGAGCTTTTGACCACATTTATGGTATAAGTATGAATTTTCTTCCTGTGAAGCAGGCCTCACATCCAATCAGAAAGCAATTGGCTGTCCCCATAAAAGTCATGTCATTAGTGCACCAGTGGGCATATCTTTTATTCTTCTCTCATATTACTTTACTGCCTGACTACAGTTTCATCTTCCTCTACTCCCTTCCGCCATCATTCCCCCTACCTCCCCTCTCTCCCAGAACAACTCTTCCAGTTTTCCTTCTTTTTTAAAAAAGAAAAAAAGAAAAGAGTTCATCACCCAGGGATATCCACTGAACATGGTCTAACAATATATAATAAGACTGGGCAAAACCCCTCATATCAAGGCTGGATAATGCAACCCAGTAGGAGGAAAAGGGCCCTAAGCACAGGCAAAAGAGTCAGAGACATCCTCCATTCCCACTGTTGGGAGTCCTATAAGCACACTAAGTTACACAGTCATAAGATATATGCAAAGGACCTAGCACAGACCCTTTGTGCATTTTTGAGTCGCTTCAGTCTCTGTGAGCCCCTAAGAGCCGTGCTAATTGATTCTGTAGTGTTGGGGGAGGCTGCTTAGCCCCAAAATAATCACACAAAAACTGTATTAGTTAAATCAATGCTTGGCTCTTTAGCTCTACCTTCTTATTGGCTAACTCTTACATCTTAATTTAACCCATCTCCATTAATCTGTGCATCACCACGAGGTCGTGACCTACCAGCAAAGTTTCAGCAGGTCTGTCTCTGGTAGCTGCTCCATGGCTTCTCTTTTGACTCTACCTTCTTCCTCCCAGCATTCGGTTTAATTTTCCCTGCCTATCTAAGTTCTGCCCTATCAACAGGCGAACACAATTTCTTTATTCATTAATGGTAATCACAGCATACAGAGGGAAATCCCACACTGTAGGTCGTGTTCTCATGGTGTCGTTGGCCCCTCTGGCTTCTCTCCTGCAATCCTTTCTGCCCATTTCTGCAGGGTCCCCCTGGCTCTGCCTGGTGTTTGGCTGTGGGACTCGGCATCTGCTCCAGTCAGTTGCTCAATGATGTGCCTCTGATTACAGTTGGGCTGGGTACGAATCTATGAGTACATCAGAATATGATTAGGAATGATTTCATAGACATTTTTTTCCCAGTTATATTTAGTTCTGTCCTGGGTCTCTCGACTGCCCTGCCTCTGGTTCTTGGCCATCCAGACAGTATCAGACATGGGCTCCCTCTGGTGGCATGGGCCTCAAGTTGGACTAGTCTTGGGTTGGCACATCCTTTTTTTAAAACTTATTTAAGTTTATTTTATGCGCATTTGGTGTGAAGGTGTCAGATGCTTGGAATTGGAGTTATAGACGGTTGTGAGCTGCCATGTGGGTGTTGGGCATTGAACCTAGGTGGTCCAGAAGAGCAACCTGTGATCTTAACTCCTGAGCCATCATCTTTCTAGCCCTAGTGGGCACATCTTAACCAAAAGGTTGGTAGTGAAACTTACTGGGCCCGTGGTTGAGTAAAATTGATAACTTTTCTCTTCTACAACCTCTGTAGTACCTTCTAGTAATGTGGAAACTAGTCATCAAGGAAGAAGCTTCTAGTCCCCACCCTTTACAAAGATTTTGGGGTTAATCTTAAATTATGTATATTTGTGTGATTGTATGTGGATTTGTGCATGTGAGTGCAGTGCCCACAGGGAGTTGTGAGCTGGTTCATAGAAAGTGGAAGGGTAGCTCAGATCCTGTCAAGTCTTTGCAGTCTTAGGTGGGTGGAGGTAAAGGTGGATAGACCTTGCTCTAGAGATAGCAGTGGACTTCATGAGAAATAGAGATAGGATATGCTTCATTGGATTGTATATCAGGGCTGAATAAAGAAGGAGGGGACCAAAAGTAAGTTCACACTTTCTAGACTGAGTGAAAATATTAGCTAGTAGCAGGTTCACAGTTTAAATTTGAAATGTCTATTAACCTAAATGTTGGTATTGGATACTATATTTGAGTTCAGAGTAATTTGAATAGTTTCATATTCACACTAGTTTCATATGATTCATTTGTGGAAACTTCATATTTCTTGCTTTCCCAGTGTCTTAGTCAGTGTACTATTGCTGTGAAGAGACAAACATGACCATGACCACTCTTCAAAAGGAAAACATTTAGACATACATGGATCTGATCTACATGGGAAGTAGAAAAAGACAAGATCTCCTGAGTACATTGGGAGCATGGGGATTATGGGAGAGGATAGAAAGGGAGGGAGAGAAAGGGAGGAAAGTGGAGAAAAATATATAGCTCAATAAAAACAATTTTCAGAAAAGAAAAACATTTAATTGAGGCTGGTGCACAGTTTAGAGGTTTAATCCATTATTGTCATGGTGGGAAGCAAAGCAGCATGCAGGCAGGCATAATGCTGGAGAGGTAGCTGAGAGTTCTACATCCTGACCAATAGGCTGCAGGAAAAGAGGAAGGTCTGACTTGAGTATTTGAAACCCTAAAACCCATCCCCAGTGACACTTTTCCTCCAATAAGGCCACATCCACTCCAGTGTCCTAATCCCTGTCAAATAGTGCTACTCCCTAATGATCAAGCATCTAATTATATGAGCCTGTAGGATCTATTCTTACTCAAACCACCACACCGAGCATGAGAGTATATCAGATGACTGTTATGTTGAATTAAATTGACAGTCAGTGCACTTAGGGAACTTGCTATTAAGACAAAAAGTATTTAATTTTTTTTTGTATAAGATCAATGAATTTGTCCTATAGTAAATTTTGTTTATATATCTGTGTTTACTTTGAGATGCAACTTTGTGTTGTTGTTTTGTTTTGCAGATCCTGTGCCTGGTGTAGAAGTAGAAGAATTCAGCTGGGAGGATTATCTAGACGAGACAGGCTCCACCACAGTTCCCTATGCATCGTTTAAACATGTAGGCAACACCTCTTGACTTTTTTACTTTTTTTCTCCTGGGACAGGGTCTCACTTTGTAACCCTGGCTGTGTTGGAACTTGCTGTACAGACAAGTCTGGACTCAGATTTAGAGAGATCAACCTGCTTTCCCCTACTGCTGGGAATAAAGATGTTTGCCACCATGCCTGGCTTACCCCTTTTCTTTTAATCTTTGTATTGTGTCTTAGTCACTTTTCTACTGCTGTGACAAAGCACCATGGCCAAGGCAGCTTACAGAAAGAATTTGTTGGAGACTCAGAATTTCAGATGTCTGTGATTACTGTGGTGGGGCAGCAGATAGGCTAAGAGCTCATATTGTTGAGACAACAACCATGGGCGCGAGAGAAAACTGAGAATGGGGTGGACTTTTGACACGTCAGAGCCTACCCCAGTGACACACCTTCTCCAACAAGACCACATCTCCTAACCCTTCCCAAACACTTGTAGCAGCTGGGGTCCTTTAGGGAGCAGTCTCATTCTAGCCAGTAGGCCTATGTCCATAGCAGAATGCAGAATGCATTAGTTCTCCTTCAGAGCTTCACAGTCTTTGAGTCTCAGGACTGTTTAAAATCCAGTTTCTTCTGAGACTCAAGTCAATCTCTTAATTTATAACTCTGGATAAAAGCAAAAAGCAAATTACATACTTCTGATGTACAAGGACAGGAAATATATATTACCATTCTAAAAGGGAGGAAAGGAGGCAGAGTAAGGAAATACTGATCAAGCAAGGTTGAAACCTAGCAGGACAAATTCCAGACATCATTGTTCTGTGTCTGATATTAGGGCTTAGATGGCTCTGTCCTTCCGGCTTTGTTGCCTCCAACATCCCTCCCTTGGGCTGGTTTCACTCTGTTTGCAGCTGTCCTTGGAAGATATCCCCTAGTTTTGGCGTCTTTACCATCTTCAGGCCCTTTACTTTACTTTCACAGTGCTCTCTCTGGGCCTGCCCTACACCTGGCCTCAGCGGCGTTGCCTAACCCCTGAGGGAGGGATGCTGTTTCTGTGACCCCTTTACTCCTTTATCCTTCTTGACTCTAAATTCTACTGCCACCTGGGATGGGCCCTGGCCTACTGGCCCCTTCTTGAGTTATATTTTCATAAGCTTTGATTTGCAGTTGTTTTTTTTTAGGAACAGATAATTCCTTAGGCCAGTGGTTCTCAACCTTCCTAAAGTTGCAACCCTTTAATACAGTTCCTGGTGTTGTAGTGACCTCTCCCCCGCCCCAGCCCCGCCCCAGCCCCGCCCCAGCCATAAAATTATTTTCGTTGCTACTTCGTAACTGTAATTTTTGCTACTGTTATGAACTGTAGTGTAAAATCTAATATTCAAGATATCTGATATGTAACCCCTGTGGAAAGGTCATTCAGTCCCCAAAGGTGGTGATCTGCCCATTGAAAACTGCTGCCTTAGGCCTTTTCACAAGTTTGATTCAGGTTTATCTGGTTGAGGTCTTGCCCTGAGGGCACCACTCCCTTTATTCCATTTCTCCTTATTCTTTCATCACAAACCATGGCTTCAACATTAAATTTCCTCGTGCTCTTTCGCCTTAAACTATATATTTTGTATTTCATTTTGCCTTGTTTGATTTTTTTTCATTGTGGATCTGCATATGAGCAAATACATATAACAAGCAACAGAGTCAGTATCTGACTGTCTTGAACTCTCCTCTGCCAATGAAATTAGTCGAAAACTCTACATTTAGCTTCAGGAATATTCGTAGGACAAGAGCAAAATGCAGCCACGAGAATGTGCCAAGATATTATAAGAATGGTCTCTCTCCCAGTTGATAATATTGTAACCTCCGAAACCTCTTAAAGTGGGGCCTCTATAGTTCACATTGGTCCTTAGTGCTGTTGTCTTTTAAGCTCCTACTAGGATACCCAGTAAGTAAGCCCTGTTTTTAGCATTCAACCACTTTCCTAGTCCAGAGTCCCAAAGTCTTCCCTGTTCCACAAAAAAAGTATGGTTAGACCTGTCATAGCAACACCTACTCGCTGGTACCACTTTCTGCATAAGTGAACTCAGAATTCTTTTAAGTTAGGGTGTTTGAGCCAGACAGAGGTGGCACACACCTTTAATCCCAGCACTTGGGAGGCAGAGACAGGCGGATCTTTGTGAGTTTGAGGCCAGCCTGGTCTACAGAGCTAGTTCCAGAACAGGCTCCAAAGCTACAGAGAAGCCCTATATTAAAAAACAAAACAGAAAAGTTAGGAAATTTGAAAAAAAAATGTAAATGATTTTCCCTTTTCTTTCTTCCTGCTATCGTCATCAAGAAAATTTGCCCTTTTTGCAGGGTGTGTGTGTGTGAACAGAGTACACTGAGACAGATGTGTGAAAACAGGAAGCCTGGGACTGGGAAGACAGCCCAGTCAATACAGTGTTTAATTTACAAGTATGAAGACCTCAATTCAGATTTTCGGAACCCACATAAAAAGGGCATAGCGGCACACCTGTAATCCCAGTGCTTGGCAGATGAATAATAAAAATGCAGAGTTAACACTGTAAGAAAGAATGTTTTGGTTTTTGGGGATGCTTTTCAATGATGGGCAGTATCTTTTACACATTCAGTTTTGCAGGGTTTCTTAATTGTGAGGAATGGGGTGAGGAGAGAGGAACATTGGGTAGGTTTGTTTTTATATTTGGGGCTCATTAGGGGAATGATAAAATCATGAAAAACACATGTAATAATGTGGTTCTGTGTTCAGAATATTTTATTTTTTCAACAAAATTTCCCTGGCACTGTAAATGAGGATTGAGATACTGCATAATACCTATAGATAATTGTGCCAAACCCACAAATGAAGGGGCTCTACCTGAGTTCAGCTTTCCCAAAGGAAAAAGCCTACGCTACCAAGTGGCCACTTGGGAGATGGAGACTCATTGAAAGGAAGTCTTTTATTGAAGAGTAGACAGAGGCAGACCAATCTATCAGTAGTACTAATTCTTAAAATTAGAGAAAAAAAACTTACTTCAATTTGTCCAGTAAAGCCCCTAGCTGAGGCATTCCAGGAGATGCTGCAGGCTGTTGGGCTGTGGGTGGTAGGAGAGGAAGATGAAGAACATACTCTTAGGATAGAAACTCAAGTATCCTTGGTTTTTGAACTTTGAAATTCTTTTTTTTTTTCTTTTCCAAAACAGCAGGAGTCTCTGTGTAACAGCCCTAGTTGTCCTAGAACTAGCTCTTTAGAGCAGGCTGGCCGTGAACTCACAAAGACCCGCCTGCTTTTCCCAGTGCTAGGATAAAGGTGTGTGCCACAACAGCCTGGCTGAACTCAGAAATTCTACTGGCACAATTCAGTTGTGGGCAGCACAGATTTAATCGAATCTGTTTAAGGGTTGAATGACTTACAGTGCCCTGGTTTCAGGAAATTCCCTGCATATTGGAGTAGTGGTTCCCTTGAAAACACAGAACAGAATCCTCAGAAGGAGCATGCTCTGTCTCGAGTCTTGAGACTCATCAGTTCTTAGCATGGTTGACCCATCCTAGAGTGACAGTGTAAAATCTGGTGAGCGAAAAAACAAAAAACAAGTTTTGAATGTAAACTTCACACTATATTGTAACTTTTAATCATAAAAAAACTAGATTTTTTTTTAAAAAAAGCAACAGCAACATGGAACTTTGTTTGGCTTATTTTAGGACTTCATTTTCATTTTTCTAGTGTTTTTGACTACATTTCCATTATTTTAAGTTTTACATTTTTGCTTATTTGTGTGTATGTATTTGTTTGGGTGTGCCACAGTGCCTGCCTGGAAGTCAGAGGACAGCTTGCTGGAGTTCTCCCGGGGATTGAACTCTGGTGAACTTAGTGGCAGGTACCTTTATATCCCACCCACCTTATTTGCTTCGTTTATCACAGCGGAGTCTCCTTTCATGAACTTGGCTCTTTTAAAGAATATATTATTATATGTCAGTTACTTTGTGCAGTATTTTTTGATTTGGGAAACTAAGTATATTCAGATATGTCAAGCATGCCAAAGGAAATACAGTCTTTTTCTTGTATGGAATCCGACAAATGTATGCAATTGCGATGTTGATGTTTTAGGAGTTATATTAACTTTGATAAATTTAAAGTGATATGTGCCATTTTCTTCATTGTATTGTTACTGTTTTGCCTTTTGCAGCTGATAAGAATCGTATAGAGTGATCCTTTGAGATTATGCAAATACTGTTTTTCATCATAGTAGTTTTAGCATCTATCAATAATTCTTGCTTGCTGTGCATATTTATATGATGCTTGTCTGATGACAGTTATTTTCATTTCACTTTTTGTTTTTTTGAGATAATTTCATTATATAGTCCAGGCAGGCCTCCTGCCTCAGTCCCTTGAGTACTGGGACTGTTGTTGGGAACCACCTGCTGATATTTTCCACCATTTTGTTCTGTATTTATCTTTTGATTTGCAACTGTGACCATTGGGAGATCCTTTTCGCTATCTTGTGTTTCCTTTTAACATGCCCCATACTTTTTTAATTGTTTCTGCTTGACATCACAAGATGTTTGAGACTCCTACTTTATTTTTATTTTTCCAGAATTGTAACTAGTAGTTTCTCCATGATCCCTTGCTTTTGTTGATTGCAAGATGATATAAAAACTATTTGGGCACTAAATCCATTCAGGGTTAAGAAATACACATGCACTTATATCCACATTTATACTGCTTTCCTATCAGTTCATGTTTTTATTTAGATTCTTCTGATTCCAGTCCACAATGACAGGATTTACTCCAGTCTTCCCTCCCCCTTTTTTGGGGGTGAGATTAGATAGTGTGTGTGTATGTGTGTGGCTTTTCGAGACAGGATTTCTTTGTGTAGCCCTGGCTGTCCCACAAAGCCAGTGCTTTGTAGACCAGGCTAGCCTTGAATTTAAGGAGATATCCCTGTCTCTGCCTCTCAAGTCCTGGGATTAAAGGTGAATGCCAGCATATCCACCCCCTGCCCTTTTTTTTTGAATTGAATTTGTAACTACTCCCACAGTACTTTTATATATACTTAATTTTAATGTACTTAAGAATTGCTAACCCATACCTTTGTCACCGTGTAACTTTTCGTCTACATTGGAACACTTTATTATAACAGCTGACAGAAGTGTGGACTGCCTGCAAATATTGTACATAATATTACTAATACTGATTTATATCTTTATACTTTTTTCATTTCCCTGTTGTGGTTATCTAAAACCTTTTGTTGTTGAGTGATATAGAAATCTTGAAGACATGTTGAAGGATATGAATATGTGAATGTTTAGTAATGTATTACTTTCTAGAAGATACTTTCTATCATCATAATAGACTGGCTGTGTTGTTGAAAATACCAAGTTCTATCACTGCCATGTGGACAGAGCCCTATAGCTACTTCTGGTTTTTTGATTAGTGTTATGAGTTATAATTAGAATTTCTCAGGTTTCCTTTGAGAAGGTTTTATAGGCATTTAGTGCTTTGAAAATCTTAGATCTTAAAAAAGAATTTGGGCAGAAAAACACTCATGAAATACATTTTGTCTGGTGGCTAATAACATTTCTTTTTTCAGGTGGACATACGTTTGCAAAATGGCTTTGCTCCTGGGATGAAGCTTGAGGTAGCTGTGAAAAAAGATCCCGAAACTTACTGGGTTGCCACCATCATTACTGCCTGTGAGCAGTTACTCCTACTCCGTTATGAAGGCTATGGTGAAGACCGGAAAGCAGACTTCTGGTGTGATATCAGGAAAGCTGGCCTCTATCCCCTTGGGTGGTGTGAGCAGAATAAGAAGACCCTTGAAGTTCCAGAAGGTAGTAGCATATTCCCGTTCAAGGTGTGATAGAATATTGCTGTAAGAAAATTTAGATTGGCCACAGTCTTAATGCTTGTCAGGCTACTCCTACGTAGATTACACAGCGTTTTAGGCGAGGCTAAGTTTTGTTTGTTTCTTTGTTTTGTTGTTTTTTGAGATAGGGTTTCAAGAACTGGCTTCAGTTCCTACTAATATACACACACAAGTACAAGGCACTGGCTTCAGTCCCTGTTAACACACCTATGCACACACTGAAAAGACAAACAAAACGAAACAAAACAAAAAATCAGAACAAAAACAGGGGGCAATGGGACAACGGGTCACCATGAGGAAGCAGCCGGTGAAAACAAATTCTGAAAAATGATATGCTAAGAGGCTGTGTGTCTCAGTAAGTGTTCTACCAGAAAGTTGAGGGAAGGGAAAGAGAAGATTGAACCTACAGATAAAAGGAGTTTTGATATCAAATTGTTTGCAGTGCATGTTTTTTAAAGTGGTTCCTAGTGAGATCAAAAAAGTTAAAAATCATTTTTGATATAATTGAGGAAGTTTGTATGTAGACTAGACATTTACTTTTGAAGAATTACTAACTTGTTATAAGCATAATGTTCTGGTTTTGTAAGAAGTTATTTTGGTGTTAGAGAGTTGGCTCAACAGTTAAGAGCACTGGCCACTCTTCTTTAGGACCCAGGTTCAATTCCCAGCATCTTTATACCATCTAGCAAGCCTATAAGTCCCGTCCCAGGGGATCCTACAACCTCTCTTGGTGTCTCTGAGCACTGCATGTTCATGGTGCAGAGATACACATTGAGACAACTACTCACAAGTATAAAGAAATTTAAAGTTATTTCATGAATATTTTGTGAAATATATATGGATGAAATTATATGATGTTTAAAATTGGCTTCTAATTAGTTCTTGATTGGGTAGCAGTAAAATTTGTGAGAGTATGGGCCAGGGGTTGGCAAATGATCTGCTCAGGGCCAGATAGTGAATGCTTTAGCTGTCACTCATATGGTCTCCGCCATAGATACAGCGTTCTACCCTTGCAGTGTGAAGCTGGCTGCTACAGACAAAACATCAGTAATCAACATGGCTATGTGCCAGAAAAGTGTTATTTATAAAAAGCAGGTCTGAGTTAGCCCACAAGTGACAGTTTGCTAACTCTTGCTCCAGATAAAACATTTGGGCATGAGGCGACAGTTGTTGAAGCTATGTTGCATGAAAATTCATTGTACCTTTTTCTGTGTGTGTTTTTTGTTGTTGTTACTGTGGGTTGTTTTTGTTTTTGAGACAGGTTTTATTATGTAGCCCTGACTGGCCTGGAACTTGTTCTGTAGATCAGGTTGGCCTGGAGCACATATAGATCTGCCTACCTCAGCCTCCCAGCTTACAAGCAGACATCATCACACCCAGGCCTCTTTCTGTATTTTTTATTCATGTTTGAAATTTTTTTATAATAAAAATGAAGTAGGAATTTTTTTTTTATAAAATTAAGTAAGGGAATTATTTTGTGTACAAGTAATAGTCTCTGTTTTAGATACAGTTCTTATTGAGCCAGAGAGTAGCTGCCTTAATTTGGTTTCTATTGATATAATAAAGACTATGGCCAAAAGCAATTTGAGCAGGAAAGGGCTTATTTGGTATACATATATATCTCTGGCTATACTCCATTAAGAGAAGCCAAGGCAGGAACTGAAGTAGAGGCAGTGGAGGAACATTGTACTGTCTTGCTCCCCGTGGCTTGCTCAACTGGCTTTCTTATATACCTCAGGACCACCTGCTCAGAGGGGTTGCCTCCCATAGTGTACTGGGCTCTCCCACCTCTGTCATCAGTCAAAAAGATGCACCACAAACTTGTGTACAGGACAGTGTGATGGACGCATTGTCTCAATTGAGGTTTCTTCCCAGATGACTCTAGCTTATACCAAGGCGACAAAAAACTAACTAGCACATGGCTCAGTGAAGAATGAGGACATTTTGTAGCTATTTTGTTTTGTCTTTTCAAGCACTCAAAAAGAGATTTTTAAGTGATCAGCCTACCCTTAAGTCATTTCTATATGTCAGGTTTCTTTGTGTTCAATGGCTGACATGAATAATAGTGACTTCTCCCCTTGTTTAGGCATCCGACATAAGGTGTCTGACTGGGGTGCCTTTCTACAGCAGACCCTGAGAGGAGCCTGTGGTCCTCCCGTGTCTTTGCTAGAGGGCGTGAGTATCAGTGCTTCTTTAACCAGTATGGAAAACTTTTGCAAGGAATCCAAAACTGATAGCTCATTTACTGCGCGGAGGAAAAGAATCATTGTTATTAGAGTCATAAGCATAGGGATCGGAACATTTAAATGTGGTATCAGAAGTTGTACTTGGGTGGCATGTTTAGTGTCTGAGAAGCTTCTCAATCAGTTGCCAGTTAAGGTTCTGCTGATAGATACTTCCATGTTTCAAACAAATTAAAAAAAAATTATACTTAGATTAATTTTTTATCCTTGGCAATAAAAATAATAAAGTGAATGGATGATGAGGTAGATACATTATTGCTCACATAAATGCAAAATATTAAGAACAGTTTAAAAGCTAGGGAAGCTGACATCTGCTCTAATAAAAAGATTTCTGTAATCTAATAAGTGAAAAACAGCATATGTTTTGAAAAAAAAGAAAAAACATAGCAAAGAGAAGCAGAAGTAGATATTGGCTTGGGTGTAGTGTTTATACCAGCTGCTCTCTGTGGTCTCTTCAGGTCTTTAGGGTTATAAAAGAGGGTAGGCATGTTCGATTTTCTCTTTAATGATGATCTTATTTGCTTTCGTAATCAGAGACAAGATTCTATTTTTAAAACTATAGTAAATGAAATAATAATTAGAGATATTTGTTAAAACAATTTTGTTGTGTTATAAGTAAGCTTTTCTTTATGATAAACATTTTCATATCATCCAAAAGTAGTATTGTGGGAGGCCACCTATAGACAATGTAATTTAATCCCACTGTCGTAGGGTGAGTAAAACAGTATGAAGACTAGTTTCACAAAATTTAGAACTTGAATTTTAAGAAGAAACATTAACCTCTCCAATTTCATGTTTTTAACCCGCAGCTCCGTAATGGAAGGAATCCTTTAGATCTCATTGCTCCTGGGTCCAGACTAGAATGCCAAGCTTTTCGAGACTCCTTAAGCACTTGGATTGTTACTGTCGTGGAGAACATCGGGGGACGGCTGAGGCTGCGCTATGAAGGACTTGGAAGTTCTGACAAGTTTGAACACTGGTTGTACTACTTAGATCCGTTTCTTCATCACATTGGTTGGGCTGCTCAGCAAGGATATGAACTTCAGCCCCCGTCAGGTAAAGAGTGACATAGCACTTTTATATAAACTTCTATTATTGTTTTATTATTAATATCTGTGAGGGTGAAAAATATATTCTACATACTATGAAAACATTTTTGATTTTGCTTTTCAAGACAAGGATTTCTCTGTGTTGCCCTGACTGTCCTGGAACTTGCTCTTAGACCAGGCTGACCTCAAATACATAGAGATCCATCTGTCTCTGCCTCCCGAATGCTAGGATTAAAGGCATGCGCCACCACCGCCCGGCATGGAAACCTTTCTTAATTTACATAAAAAGTGTTTTATATTTATACAAAGTAGTTGCATTAAGTATATATTTTTCTTTGATTTTGTTATTACACTTATAGTTTAGCATACATTACTGATTATACCTCAGACTCTTTCCCTTACCAATATTTTACTTGCATCATTACTGTGTAGTCCAGTTTGGGTATTTATTGTATTATTTCGTGGGCTGCAGCATTACATCTGCTCTTACTATAGTTATTTTAACAAACTTTAAGTTTTGACCTCTTAAACAGAATACTGAGATTCGAATACAGGTTATTTTGTATGAAGGTGGACCTGAACTCCTCATCCCTAAAAGAAAAAAGAGCTGGCATGGTGGTGCATGCCTTTAATCCCAGTACTGGGGAGGCAGAGGCAGGAGGATCTCAGAGTTGGAGGCCAGCCTGGTCTACAGAGCAAACTCCAGGAGAACCAGCATTATATTGAAAAACCCTCTTTTGGGGGGAGTTTGGTGGTGGAGGGAGAGTAAACCTAAACCTTTTCTTAATCTATAGTAGAAAGTAATTCTGTTTATGTGAATGCTTTCAGAAGTTAAAACATCTATAGGTTTTCTCCTCTTAAATCATGCTATTTTGTCTCACTAAAGAAATCAGGCATCTGAAAAATGAAGCTGATTGGCAAGAGATTCTGGCCAAAGTAAAAGAGGAGGAGGAAGAGCCATTACCTTCTTATTTATTTAAGGTAAAAACAGAAACTCATGATAAATACAAGTTTTACCATATAGTAGAAAATAGCACTTGGGAGAGGTAAAGAATGGGAAGGAAACACTGGAGGCAGGAGAGCGCTGAGGCCTGCAGTGTGGGAAGGAGAGGTCAGACAGCAGGGATGCTGATCATCCTCTCTTGAAGTCCTCTGAAAGCTGTCTGAATGTCTCCTTTTCCAGTTAGCTACATAACCTTAACTAGTTAGGAATAAATATGTTTTTTCTTCCCGATGCCCATTGCATTGCAGACATTGAGAGGAATGCTTTACAATGAGTTGTTTTGTCCTGAGTAGATTTTTTCCAGGAAAGAAGTAGCAAGATTTACCAGAAGCTTAGCGGCTCTGTTATTTTCATGAACTAGATTACCTTTCCTGTACTGTGATGAACCACCCATGACAAAAGCAGCCTAAGCGCTGAGGGCTTGTTTTGACTCATTGAAGGGCTGTAGACCATCGTGACTGAGAAGCCTGGAGACAGGAGCTTGAGGGTCCCTTCACAGTAAACATGCAGTCAGCAAGCAAAGGGAAATGCGTGCTGGTGCTCAGCTCATTTCTACTTTTTCACCCAATCTAGGACCGTAGTTCAGAGGGTAATATTCTCCACGTTCAGAGTATATTCTTCCCTCCTTGTTAAACCTCTCTGGAAATGCCCTCAGAGACATACCCAGAGCATGTCACCTAGAGGACTCCAAATTCAGTCTAGTTGACAGTGAATATTAACTATCACAAGTATTTAACTACATATGCACATAAATTAATTCAAAGACACTATATTTTTACTCTTTTTGTTGTATATATTTCAGGATAAACAAGTTATTGGAACCCATGAATTTTCTGTAAATATGAAATTGGAAGCTGTGGACCCATGGTCTCCTTTTGGGATTTCTCCTGCTACAATTGCTAAGGTGAAGTGGGAGTTATTTCTTCTGGGAAGAATTGCCGTCAGGGTAACTACTTGAGGAAATGATGGTGGTTTGATCTTTAGGCCATCCTAATACAGTTCACTCTGAAGCCAGAATCTCTTCTGTGTTTGTATTGTATTGCCCAGTTTTTTTGTGTGCCATTTCTTCTTCAGGTCTTAGTCTTGTACAGCCAGAGCAGAGCAGTCAGGGCAGCAGAGTAGAAGAAGGAAATGTTCTTTAGAGGCAAGCCTTCTTTCGTGTAACTAGAAGACTTAGGGCCACAGTGTTCATAAAGTGTGAATCCAGGCAGTGCCATCACGCATCTAACCAGGGAAGGGTTTGGGGACATAGAGATTGGGGTCACAGAGTTAGCATCACCACTAGGATAGCTACAGCTGTGTGTTCTGGAGTCAGACTGCTATCTCTCCAACAGCTGACAAAACTAAGGCTCTGTTAAGAGTAACCATAGGAGCTGAGCACATTGTTAATTATGTCAGTTGTGCAGTTCTGTGTAATAGAGAGTATTTGGTTTAGGACTAGAGTAGAGCAGGACCCCATTTTCTGTAAGTAGAGCCCAAGGTGGGAATAATTACTAGGATGTTTAGTTATCTGACTTGATGAGATTTACATTTTCTTTGTTTTAGTGGAAGATTATTCTTAGAGCTATGAGAGCTTCTTGAGCCTCTGAAAACTGGAGAACTGGCCCAGTGGTTAAGAGCTTTTAACAAAGGACTAGTTTAATTCCCAGCACCCAAATCAAGTGCTTTATAACCACTTGTAATTACAGTTTCATTTAGGGCCTCCCCCTCAGCACCTACACCCATAGACACACATGTAAATAAGGGAATAAAAATAAATCTTTAAGACACATACACAAAGAAAGAGAGAAAGAGGTAGATATAGACCTGACGTGACACCAAGACCCACAAACCTTCTCTGGAGTCTGAAGAGACACAGAGGATAATTGTGGACTTCTCACTTTGGCATTTGATGTTAATATAATAATGTAGTTGACCCCTTACTAAGCTTAAACTAAATTTTACTTGGAAGCCAAATAATTGGTTTGAGTTCAGGTTTAAAAAAAAGTTTCTTGATCATGTAACCTGTGGTAAATTACTTTACTTTTCTTTGAATTTATCTTCCTTACCTGAAAAATGGAATTGAAAATGGTACCTACCACTGGGCGGTGATGGCACACTCCTTTAATCCCAGCACTCAGGAGCCAGAGGCAGGTGGATCTCTTTAAGTTCGAGGCCAGCCTGGTCTACAAAAGAGAGAGAGAGAGAGAGAGAGAGAGAGAGAGAGAGAGAGAGAGAAAGAGAGAGAGAGAATGGTACCTACCTCATTAGATTGTTACAAAAAGTAAAACTGAGTAAATATATGAAAGATATTTAACTAAACTAGTACCTGATGTAGAACTAACATTTATTGAATATTTTCATAACTCAGTGTCAGTGTAAATGAACTTATGTAACATGTTTGTGCTAAGGAAAGTACAGATCTATATGCGTGTGTATATACCTAATATGCATTATATACATAATATAAAAAATCCATTTGTCAGTTTTATCTGTTAATTATACAGGTTTTTGATGATAAGTACTTTCTGGTGGAAATGGATGATCTTCGATCAGAAGACCATACAAGGCGGTCATTTGTGTGCCATGCTAACAGTCCTGGTATCTTTCCTGTGCAGTGGAGTCTAAAGAATGGTTTACACATCAACCCTCCTCCAGGTACACATTTGAGTTCTTCTGTGTTGTTTATCAAAACTATTATTATCATAATTAGTTATATAGGGTCTCTCTATGTAGCTGAGTGTGTCCTCAGACTTACTGTATGACCCATGCTGGCCTTAAATTCCTTATCTACCCGACTTAGCCTTTGAAATATATGTTGGATGTCATTGCTAAGACCTTTTATACCTTCTGTCCAAGATAAGGTAATGAGATGTAGATTCCATAATTTTATTTGTTTATTGAGGAAGAGTCTTAGTATTTGGCCTGGCTGGCCTGGAACTTGCTATGTGGACTAGGCTAACCTTGAACTCACAGAGAAGAACCTCCTGCTTCTGCATCCTGAGCACTGGGACTAAAAGAGTATCCCACCAACCACATCCAACTCGTTCTGTAATATTTGAAGTCACAAGCTGAAGTGTTAGTGTTTTTTTTTTTAATTTTTTTCATACTTTGACATATATTTGTATAGGCAGCCAGAAGGATAGGTTCAAGCCTGGATTCTGTTCTGGTTCCCTACTCTGTTCATTGGAATCTGTTGGGATGTCACAGAAAGATGAGTGTCTGTTTTGCTTCTCTTACTGGGATAAGTCATGGACCAAAGCAATTTTTGGAGAAGAAATGGTTTTTTCATCTTATTCTTAAAGCCTGTCACTGAAGGGAGTCCAGGCTGGAGCTCATGGCAGACACTGAAGTAGACTACGTAGAAATTCTGCTTAGTGATTTGTTCCTTATGGCTTGCTCAGGCTTGCTTTTTTTTTTTTGTTTGTTTGTTTTTTTGGTTTTTCGAGGCAGGGTTTCTATGTGGTTTTGGAGCCTGTCCTGGAACTAGCTCTTGTAGACCAGGCTGGTCTCGAACTCACAGAGATCCGCCTGCCTCTGCCTCCCGAGTGCTGGGATTAAAGGCGTCAGGCTTGCTTTTTTATACAACATAGGACCACCTGCCCGAGGTGGCAGCCCCCACAGTAGACTGGGCCTTCCCACATTAATCATTAATCAAGAAAATGCCTACAGACTCTCCCACAGGATAGTTTGATGGAGGCAATCCCTTAGTTGAGGGTCTCTCTCCCCAGATATGCCTGTGTTTGTGTGTGTTGACAGTAAGTCTGGCAGACACTGAGCTTGTAGACCTGAGCTAGAAGGCTGGCAATTTTTAGGCGTTGAGGCCTTATTATCCAGATGACTAGTCAGAGGGATGCTACAATCAAGATCTAAAAGGATCTAACAGCTTATTTTACTTGTTCTTGTAATTTTGTAAAATTTGATATTTGACCTTCTAATCAAAGTACTGAAATAAGATTTCACTGAATTTGAAATTTTTAGTATTTTAAAATGTGGAATATATGGAAAATGTCAGATGTTAGTCCCCCCCCCCCCTTTTTTTTGGTTGGGGGCTTTTTGAGACTGTTTCTCCAAGTAGCCTTGGGGCCTATCCTGGAACTAGCTCTGTAAAATCAGGCTGGCCTTGAACTCACGGAGATCCTCCTGTCTCTGCTTCCCGAGTGCTGGGATTAAAGGCCTGCACCACCACTGTCCAGCCAGCATACTAGCAAATCAGATTATTTCAATTTAGTAGGCTTTGGGAAGCAAGGCTTCTCTTGAATGCTGACTGCTGAAGCATTGTGCTGGAAGCACTCATCTTAGCAAGGATCCTAAACTGTCCTCCACCCAGCCTTCATTCATCCAAGAAAATATTTATGTGGTATTTGTTGTGTACACGTATTAAATTTATCACCGAGAAGGCAGAGATGAGTATCATCTAGCCTTTTAAGAGGCACAAGAGGGAAAATACCCACAGGACTTCCCAGGTTCTCCACATTGGTGAGCAGAACACAAGGAGCACCTGGTGGGACGGTGTGGCATTGAACGCTTAAGCTAGGAACTTGTTGCTTTGTAGGAAAGTGCAGATTTCCAAGTTCTTACACTGATTGCTACCTTTGTGTGAAAAGGAGAAAACAAGTATTAAATATATTATGTAGTTGAAAATGACAGTGGGGCCTGGAGAATTGGCACAGTGGCTAGGAGCATTTGCTGCTTCTACAGTCCAGAGTCCATTTCCCAGTATCCATAGCAGATGGCTCATAGCTGCCTGCAACTCTAGTTCTAGGGTATCTGGTGCCCCTTTCTCGACTCTACAGGTGCCAACATGCACATGTGAACATACACCACACACACACACACACACACACACACACACACACATATAAATATTTAAGAAAGGAACATGCCAGAGAATGTTTTTATCAGAAAGTGAGATAGGGTGAAAGGGAGAGCTGAGACCTTTGTTTGGGCAAGAAAGGGGATAGTGGGGACTGTTGTCTGTAGGAGGACACAGGTTTGAGTAGCCTGTGATTAAGATCTGAGACAGAGCATTTTAGATAAAAGTGGACAGCAACCATGTAGCTCCTCACCCTGCACAGATGGAGCTGAGTTAGATACTAGTTTGGAGGTACAGCTACCAAGAACCTTTATAGATTGAAGTAGAGAGTTGTTTATTTTAGTCTTGAGTTGAATTTATGATTCGGATTATAGCATAACATTTAGAATTTTAAAATGTTTTCTTAATTGACACATATACTATATTTATGGAGTACAGGGTAGCATTTTAATGCATATATTCAATGTATAATGAACAGGTGAGAGTAATGAACATATCTGTCAGCTATAATACCATTTCTTTGTGTTGAGATGTTCAGTTAATTTTGTCCACCATAGAAGGGACATTAGAAATAACTCTCCCACTCCAGCTGCATCCCTGTGCCCACTATTCTCTCTACTTCTGAGACTGTTAGACAGATTCTGTAGAATATGAATCTGAAAACAGTGTTAAGAGTATTGCAGCAGAGCTAGGGTATGGTGTTTTATGCCTGTAATCCTAGAACTTGGAAAGTGGTAGAGGTGGTGAGGCAGGATTGTCAATAGTTCAAGGTCAGTTTAGCTACATGAGTTCCAGATTACCCTTAAAACCCTGTCTTAAGGGGAAAAAAAAGGACATTGTATTGCTATTAACTAAGACGTGTTAAGGAAAGCAAATAGCTTATCGACAAAAAGTCCTCACTGGTTAAAAAGTACTAATAAAATCAATAAGACTAAATTTCTATATATGAAACCAAATTCAGTCTTTTTAATTTTTCTTTTAAACTCTTGGCAAATTGTCAGTAACTAGTCACACCAGAGTACTGCTCACAAAATACCTGACTTGAAGTTTGGAAGTTTAAACACTTACTTCATTAATTTTATTACATAATTATTTTCCCAGAGTTATTCTGTTTTATAAAATTAGGTTCAGTTCCCTAGCATGAAAAATATTAATTGTTGTTTGTATTATAGCGTGCCCCTCCACATTGATAAAAGTCTATAGATAACAGCATTAGGAGTTGTGATACACTTTGGCAGGCGTATTGGGTGTGACCCATTGCTCTTCTGTTTCTGGGCAGGCTTCCGGAGCCAGGACTTTGACTGGGCTGACTACCTCAAACAGTGTGGTGCTGAAGCTGCCCCCCAGAAGTGCTTCCCTCCGGTGAGACCCTCAGCCATACCTTGGAGAGACCATGTCCTCAGTTTATACAGTGACCACTTTTTTTCTTTCATTGTAATTCTTATATTTATACCTCATTATTTTCAAAACAATATGCTGCACTCTTTTGAGGTATTAATTTAGAAACTTATGTTGGTGACATATTATAGTAAATAAATACTTAATTATTTCATGTTACCTTCCCTTCTGTCTTAACCATCACTATTTAGTTTTGATGACGTTTGGGTTAAAGTTTTACATTACATTATGTGATTCTAAACTTAAGTAGCTCACTACTGCAGCATTTTAAGATTTTTTTTTTCCTTTTTAAAATGTTTGTCATGTTAGTAATTGCTGTTTTGTTGCTATTTGGTTAATGCTCTTTTGTTCATTACTAGTTCTTCCCATACCTTCTAGTAGCATCTTGTCACTAATCCACGAAGGCAGTACAGTAAGAAGATGACTGTTCCTAGTATTTTTTCTCCCTGGGAAGGCTGCTTTCGAGGCTTCCCATTTGGTCTTGTCACCGCCACACAGAGTTGCCCTTGCCCTACTGCTGTGTGTAACACAAGGCCTCTTTCCTCCTCTCTTGGCTTACTTGGTTGTGTGTAAGAGAGAGAGACAGTTAGAAATAGAGAGACAGACATGTGCACATGCAGCAGCCAGAAGGGGATGTTGGGTGTCTTCTTATTTCTCTTCAGTCTTTAAAAGGTAAGTCTATCACTAAGTGAGAAGCTTCCTGTTTCTGATAGGCTGACACATTCCCAGAGGGCCTGTGACATCCACTTGCCTCTCTGCACCACAACTTTGGTATTACAGGCATCCACCGTCATCTCTAGCTTTTTAATAATACTGAGGATTTGGACTCAGGTCCTCTAGCTTTCACAGCTAGTGCTATTACCATTTGGCTGTCTCTCTAGCCCCTGCTTGGGGTTTTGATGGTGCCTGCTATTGCTTAATAGCTTCTTAAAAATATGTAATAAGGACTATGTAAATTTTAATAAATTCTATATATTGAAATTTTCACTCTACTGTCATACTCAAAATTTAGCTTTAATATGAAAGTTAGGTTGGATATTACTTCAGAATTTAAAAAAATATTACTCACTTTCTTCTAGTTTTTTTTAAATAAAAAGACAATTTTATTCTTGACTTTTTTATGAGACAAAATTACTCTTTAACTTTTTGTAGATGAACCTGCCTTTTCTCTCCCCTTTATGCAAAGTTGCAGATAGCCTGCCTTTTTTCCTCTCATAGAAAATACAGAATCTCAGTAGAGCCTGGTGACACATGCCTTTAACCTCAGCATTTGGGAGGCAGAGGCAAATGGATCTCTATGAGTTCAAAGCCAGCCTGGTCTACAGAGTGAGTTCCAGACCAGCTATGGCTGCATACATTTCTGAGACCCTGTCTCCAAAAACAAACAAAACTTTACAGTTGGTCTTTTTGTTTTATTTGTTTGTTTTGACATTTACTCTCCCTCTGTAGTCCATGTTGGCTTCAGGCTCACTGGAGGCCCAAGGCTGTCTTTGGTCTCATGTAATCCTCTTGCCTCAGTTTACTAATTGCTGGGATCATGAGTTTTTATTTTAAAAAATGATTTTTAAAATCTTGGTATTTTGTGTTTCTGGGCATGTGGTACCCTCAGAGGCTAGAAGACGGCATCAGACCCCTTGGAAATTGAGATGCAGGGTGTTATTAGCCACTATGTAAATTCTGGCACCAAACCTGGATCCTCTGCCAGAATAGCAAGAACTCTTGGCCTTAAGCTGTCTCTGCAGCCCCAACTTTTTAATTTTTTGTTTTTCAGAACTACTCTTTGAATAGTTCTCTATTTTGTTTTGTTTTGTTTTGTTTTTTGAGACAGCATCACTGACTTCACAGGGTCTGTCTATTTCTGTCTGGCCTGGAACTTGCTATATCAACAAGACAGGCTTTAACCTTACAGATATCTCTCTGCTTCTGCCTCTTCGTGCTGTGATTGAAGGTGCACCAGACCCAGCTCTAACAGCTCTTTACTTTTAGTGTGAAATCTCCCAGAAGATACTAATTAGTACCACCACTGGTGTGAAGGTTTCCTTGCATGCTGTTTTCTCCAATTGCTGGTATTGTCTGTAGCTTTTATATTCTTAAATATCTGATTATTCTAGATTATTGCTTATATTTAAGAATGAGAAAGTGAAACAAAAAAAACTGGTTAGAAAGTTTGAGCATGTTTGGATGGGGCTTGTCAACCTTAATTTTTCTTACAGAGTGGGATCTCACGGGCCACTTATTGAGAAAAACTAAATCTTTGTATATTGTCCTAGTACTGTAAAAGATCTTTTCCTGTCCCTGTCTGACATTATAGAGGCTGTGGCTTGGCCTTTACTACGCACATACCCTTAACAGTTATTTGTGTCCTCCTGCCCAAAGATCTTGTATTTTGTCTTTTCCAGAGAATAAATCTCACTTTCTGTAGGGAAGGGAAAGACACAGTTGCCCTGAGGTATGTAATAGTATATAATGGCATAATGTAAATGCTTTTTAAATGTTTCTGAAAAAAAAAAAAGGAGAAAGAAAGGAAAGAAAAAGGTCCTCCAAGCATGAAGATACTCATCTGTAATTCCAGTGCTCTAGGAGGCTGAGGCAGGAGGATTAATGTAAATGGGAGGCCAGCCATTTCTCAATAGTAAAACCCCTATCTCAAAAAAACATTTTTAATTTAAAAAATTCATGACTGGGAATGTAGCTCATCATCTCTTTAGAGTGCGTGCTTAGCATGATGGAGCCCTGAGTTAGGACCTCAGAACGTATAAACCAGGTGTGGTGGTGCATACCTGAAATCCCAGCCCTTGGGAGGTGGAAGGTAGGAAGACGATCAAGAATAACGGTCTCATCTTTGCAAGTAGCAAAAGTTAGAGGTCAGCCTGGGCTATGTGAGACCTGTCTGAAACAAAACAGAAGAAACATGCAGATCAGCCAGACCTTGTTTAGGCCACTTCTCCTGTGTCCATGTGCATCAGTTCTGGTGCTAACAGTTTGTGCCTGCCGTCTTTTGTTAGGTTATGGCTTTATTTTTAAATTTATTTATTTATTCTGTGTGAATATGTACACGTGCACTTGTCATGGCACATATGTGGAGGTCAACTTGGTGGAAGTTTGTTTTTGCCTTCTACCTTATAGGTTCTGGGGATCAAACAAGTCCCTTACCGACTGAGTCCATCTAGAGAGCCCTAAGTTTATACTCTCAAAAACCAATAGCAATTTTATTGAGTTATCAGGAATTAAACAATTAAATCTCAAAACTTGTTTCCTCTTATTTTCTCTTTGCTTCCTTGAAAACAAACAAAACAAGATATTGCTTTACTGTAAATCTAGTGATTAAACACTGTAAAACATTCTAGTTGAGTACATGAATTAATACTAAGTATTAATCTAATTAATGAATTTGATTCATTGATTTTCTTCTAGTCAATTTCTGATCACCAGTTTAAGAAGAACATGAAACTGGAGGCCGTGAACCCTCTCCTCCCTGAAGAAGTGTGCATTGCCACCATCACTGCAGTGAGAGGCTCCTACCTGTGGCTCCAGCTGGACGGTAGGCCAGCACGCCTGACAAGTTTCCTGTGGCGTTTTTTTGCTCTTCCTGCTCACCACTGTAGTGTAGCTTGTTAGATTTGGTGGACTTGGAAATAATGATATAATTTGAAATCCAAAATTTTAAGCTAATATTTTACTCTTTGTCCTTGGATTTTAAATTTTAAGAAATGAAAGTTAATAAAAGCTCTTTAAAGTCCTTTATTTTCATAAGGGTAAGTCAAAATAACATGTATTTTGAAATTACCAAAATATATTTGTGTAACATTAACTGCCTCACTTATTGTAGTGGTGAACATTTTGGTTGCCCCAAGAAAATAGAACCAAGTAGAATGTAGACAACCTGATTTGTCTTTCCCAAAGTGATAGTGATTGGGCAGGTTTGTGGATGAAGCTATCTAAGTCCTCAATGCTTTAGCTATTATTTGTAGCCTGCTTTTTTAAAATCCTGCTACCAGATAGTCTTTAAAATGATTGCATTCTGTTTCTGATTTATAGAATTGATGTGTAATACGGATGTCAAGGACAGTATTTACTGCAGACATCCTTGCAACATCTGCCAAGTTACTTTTCCTGATTTGAATTCATTGTTCCATATTCAGGTTTATTCCAAGAATGCAAGACAGTAGTCCAGTTAGTTAAAGTAAATGTGATATTTTGCCCTTATATTCTGGTTATTTCAAGGAAATGTCTATGATACTTGCTAGCCATATGAATGACACCAATTATAGCTCCAGTTGCTTCTTTGCTGTTCCTTTGCCAAAGGTCAATTTGTGTATTTACTTCCTTCTTGGTTCTTATAATTTATATATAGAAAGCAACTTATTTTTTCATAATATTTATATATCAAAATATATTACTTCCATGAGAAAGATTATTGCTTAAGAGATTTGTGTCTATATTATTACAGTATTGTTTAAAAAGTAATGTGTAGGACTAGGCATGGTTGTGCAATGCCTTTAGTACTACCACTTGGAGGCTGAAGCAGGGGATTTCAAAGCTAGCCTGTGTTAACCTAGTGAGATCCAGTCTCAAAAACTGAACAAACAAATCACATAAAACAAAAATACTTATAAAGAAAGATGTTTAATAGTTAAAATTTTGTTTTCTTAATCTAACAGGTTCGAAGAAACCTATACCTGAATTCATTGTAAGTGTGGAGTCGATGGATATATTTCCTTTGGGCTGGTGTGAAACCAATGGCCATCCTCTCAGTACTCCTCGCCGGGCACGAGGTATTTTTTCTATGTCTGGATTAGAGGATTGCTTATCAAATTATCTCTTGTACAGGTTATGGTAATATAGACATTTCAGAGAAAATCAAAATATTACCTTTTGTATAGACAATTACTGGAGCAAACTTTTATTAGCTTAGAGGTCTAGGCTAAATTTAGGTAATCTTGATTTCACACAGGTTGTAATAAAGGATTCCACCAGGACAGTTATTATCTTAGGACTTGAACTGGGAAGACTCACCCCTTGTTTACTCAGATGATTACTGGCAAGTGTCTTAGTCTATTCTGGTTTTGATAGCAAAATTCTATAAAGTGATGTGTCTGCTGTCACGGGAAGTCAAGTGATAGGGTGCTAGCAGATACTAGGATCTCTTTTCTGTTTCCTAGACAAGGCCTTTTTCAGATTTAAAATTTTTTTATCATATGTATATTAGTGTTTTGCCTGCATGTATAAATATGTATCATGTAGGTGCCTGATGTCCCCAGAGTTGATGAGAAGGGAGCAGAGTCTCTGGAGCTGCAGTTATTGAGGGTTGTGAACTACCATGTTAGGGCTGGGAACTAAACCAGGGTCTTCTGCAAGAGAGCAAGTACTCAACCCTGAGCCTTCTCTCCAGCCCAGACATGTTCTTGCTGAGTCCTCACAGACTAATGCAGACTGCTCACTCTCTGGGCACCCTCCATAGGGTCACTACTCCCACTCATGAAAGGTCTGTCTTTACCACGACCACCTGCCTCACCTCCTGCTGTGGTAAGTAGGGTTTCAGAATTAATTTGAGAGTACAGTCAGACCATAGCAGCAGGAATTCATTTCTATAGGCTACTGAACCGAGGAACTTAGTTCTTTGCTGATCATTGGCAGTCGAAGTTCTTTGTCAAATGGATCTCTTCATAGGGCAGCTCAGAAACTGGCTTCTATTGGAATGAGGTAGCCTTTTTTTTTTTTTTATTGGTGACCATGTCTCACAGTGTAGACTCTGACTGGGCTAGAACTCAGTGGGAAGGCCAGGGTGACTTTGAATTCAGATTTGCCTACCTCTGTCTCCTAAGTCTATGTAAGAACAAGTGCTCTTATTTGCTGAGCCACCACTCCAATCCCTTCACTCTCATTTAGTTATATAGTGGGCTTTTTTTCTGCATTTATTGTGTGTGTATTTATGTTTGTATGTGCACATGTGCATGCCATTGCACACATATGGAAGTCAGAGAACTCCTGGGAGTTGATTCTCTTTTTCCACCTAGTGGCTGTTGGGAATCAAACTCAGGTTGTCAGACTTAGTAGCAAGTGACCTTATCCACTGAGACATCTTGTCAACCCTCTATTCTCTTTTTATAACATTTTTTAATTTCAGTGTATTCCAGTGTTATTTATTGACTCTTTTATCACACTTTTATCATGACTCTTGTCATATTTAAGAAGGGTTCTACAAATTCAGTGCCATGAATTTTTTTCATCTGTAAGAGTTTTGAAGTTTTATCTCTGTTTAGTAATTTGCTTTTATTTTTATATATGATGTAAGTTAAAAGTCTAGCTTTATGTGAAAACAAAAGTCTAGCTTTGTACATATGAATGTCTTATTTCCCGAACACTATGCTAAAAACTATTCCTACTCCATTAACTGATCCTTAGTGTCCTCGTCAGATCAGCCTTTCTTTTCAGTATCTATTTTTCCTGTTAAAGTATTTGTAGGTATTGATTAGCCTAGTGATCCTTGAAAATGTTGCTTTTTCTAAAACGATCCTAGCCCAGAAAAATGTTCCTTTGAATGTTAACACTTAAAGTCTAATTTAAATGTACTTGCTCATTATTTACATAAAACCAGGTACCAAATATGCTGATTACAAGCATAAGTCTTTGTCTTTAAAACATTTTTGGTGTTTTTTTTTTTCTTATAGTGCATAAACAGCGGAAAATTGCAGTGGTTCAACCAGAAAAACAGTAAGTAATGTAATAGATGTTTAAACAGTTCAGGTTTGCAATTTAGAATATCTAGGAGAAAATAACTGTTTAAGGGAATATATCGCCTTTATGTTATTTTCTCAGATGGAAGCATAAACTTTTAAGTCAAATTTGATAGCTTAAATATTTCTCTTAGTATAGTTCTTTCCTAAAATTGCATTGTAATATTAGACATGGTGGTGTATACATATAATCTTAGCTTCTTTAAAGGCTGACTCAGCGGGATCATTTAAGGCAGGTTGTATAGTGAGTACCAGGCTAGCCTGGGTTATGTAGTAAAACCCTCATCTCCAAACAAAATTCTTATTATATACAAAAGGGAAAATATATCTTCAAGATGTTTTCCCCAAATTAATTTTTTTTAGCTTTTAGATATTGAAGGCATTTGAATAAAAGAGGGAAGTATTTGTCAAAGAAGAACAAGAGTTATAAGTCAGGGAATGATTTGTCACAGTGTCTTGATCTACATAACAGCAACTGGACAAGAAAAGCTACGTTCCTCCTTTGAGCCCATCAGGAAACTATTTGTAGCATACTCTTACACGCAGCCTTTGAGAAACAGTCAATTGGTGGTTGACTTGCATCTTAAAAATACAAAAGTTTTTAGGTTCTATAAAGAAGCAGAGGAAGCAAAATGAGAATGCCTTACTGAGAAAAGGTACCAAGCTACAGGGCTAAATACAGATAGGAATTACGGGTTAATTTAAGTTGTAAGAGCTAGTTAATAATACGCTTAAGCTAATAGACCAAACAGTTTATAACTAATACATGCCTCTGTGTATTTCTTTGGACTGAATGGCTACTGGACCATTCAGAAACTTCCATGTACATTGAGGCCCTCTCCGGCTGCATAGCAAATACCAGATCAGCCAGAGATATATGCCAAGATCCTGTCTCAAACAACAGCAATCAAAATCCCACAAGAAATTTACAGGGTTTATAATATAGTTTTATAATTTCTGAACTGTAGTGTATTTATATGTATATGTATACATATATATATGCATACACTTATATACATAATCACATGTCTATAGATTGTTGGCTCAGTTGTCCTATGCATGTTTTGTTGGTGGTGGTTTTTGGGGTGTTTTTTGATTTTTGAGACAGGGTTTCTCTGTGTGTATGCATTTTAAAATAATTTCTACTTAAAATAAAAAAAACAAGGTGTTGTGAATTAAGAACATTCTTCTATTTGATTTACAACTTGCCACATTTGTTTTTTGAAGGAAACTAACCTGAAGACTTTGCTGGTATTAAAGGTAATTTCACTGTTTTTTTTTTTTCCCCCTTTATTTTCTTGATCCAGAATACTCTCTTCAAGAACTGTCCATGAGGGCCTGAAGAATCAGCTGAACTCCACACACTCAGGTATAGAATTTATGACATTGTGAAGAAGAGATCCTTGGTTACCTTTTAATGGTTCTGTATAAAACTTTAGGCCAACTAGAGCTACATAGTGAGACTCTTATCTCAGAATACAATAAAGCAAAAGCCCCTCTGTATTTGATGTATTAATTAAGGTGGGGCTTAGGAGACAAGCTGTAAGTCTGGATAATGTTCAACATTCATCTCTAGGAATGCTATAGAATACATTATTGAATAATTGATATTGAAGAACTGGAAATAACTGACTATCAAGACTACTGGATTTATGGAGTAGATCCTCTACTTCTTTTATCAAAAATGTGGGCCTCTAGATTTGTGTACATTACCCAGGAATTAATCAACATATGTAAGTGAGGATAGTGATAAACTCCATAAATTAGCATAAAAGTAAGTATAAGATATTTAAGAACATTGTCAGACAGTATGCTAATCTTAAAAATATGTATTTACATGGCTGGGAATGTAGTTCAAAGCTTGCATAGCATGTACAAACTCCACATATACAAAAAAATAAGTAATTTCAAAACTCATATAATGGTGTATAGGTTGGTTGCCACCCCCAGCTTATCATTGGAGACCTGGAGTAGAGTGTGAATGAATGTTTGTTTCTTCATTTCCAGTGATGATCAATGGCAAATATTGTTGTCCAAAGATATACTTCAACCACCGCTGCTTCTCAGGGCCGTATCTTAACAAAGGAAGAATTGCTGAGCTGCCGCAGTGTGTAGGACCTGGGAACTGTGTACTGGTACTTAGAGAGGTAAGGTTCTGACCTAGGACAGAACTTGGAAATTAAACAGGAGTCTCCCAGGCTCATCCATGGAGAGAATCATGTGCCACTGATAAACAGCTATAGGTTTAATCAAATGTAACTGTCATGTATGGTAGTTCCCTCTTAGCCATAATACAGTTCTAAGACATCAGATAGTGCCTCCAAATGAGAAAAGTAACAAGCCTGTCCCCCCCCCCCAATGTATTGTATTAAATCTTTTTTGTTCTTGTAACAAGATGCCTGAGGAAGGTTAGTTAAGAAGAAAAAGAGGTTTATTTAGTACATAGTTTTGGAGGCTAAAAAGTTCAAGACCAGGCATCCCTATTGATTTGGCTTGTGGTGAAGCTTTTCTTGACTGTGTCTAACCATAGTGAAGACTATACATGTGAGGAAGAAGTCTGTTGGCAAATAAGAAACTTGAGAAAGACTGGAAACCTACTGTCCCCCTGAGGTCATGTTTCCAGTTTTTCTTTTTGGTTTTTTCGAGAAGGGTTTCTCTGTGGTTTTGGAGCCTGTCCTGGAACTAGCTCTTGTAGACCAGGCTGGTCTCGAACTCACAGAGATCCGCCTGCCTCTGCCTCCCGAGTGCTGGGATTAAAGGCGTGTGCCACCACCGCCCGGCTTTGTTTCCAGTTTTTCTAAGGACCTCTTGTTTAAATTGCTGATGCTATCACAAAAAAAGGAAGAGGGAGGGAGGAAAGGAGAAAGGGAGGGAGGGAGAGAGGGAGGGAGGGAGGAAGAAGGAAGGAAAAGACAGATCTGACAAAACCAGTTCCCAGGAGAAAAGGGTATTTGCCTTATGATGCTGATTACAACCCTCAGTGTAGGGAGTCAAGACCACAGAAACTTGGGACAGCTGCACACTTTACAGCTGAGGAGCAGATGATGGATGGATACTGGCGTGCTCAGCTCACTTCCTCCCTTTTACATACCCAGAACCCAACTCCAGGGAGTGGTGCTGCTCACTTTTAGGCTGCATCAATCAACATAATCAAGATGATCCCCCTACAGAGGGGCCCACGAGGAAGTCAGATCCAGACAGTTCTTCACTGACACTCCTGTCCCAGGTTATTTTACAGTGTGTTAGTCTTCCACAATTAAACTGACCACGGCAGTGGGGCTGTGGTGCACGCCTTTAATCCCAGCACTCGGGAGGCAGAGACAGGTGGATGTCTGTGAGTTTAAGGCCAGCCTGATCTATCGAATGAGTTCCAGGTCATCCAGGACTGTTTCACAGAGAAACCCTATCTCAAAAAGCCAACAAACAAAGCAAAACCAAAAAAAAAAAAAAAAAAAAAAAAAAAAAAACCTAACCATGGCAACCTCCCACTCAGCCTCACTTCTTAAGAATTCTGTCACCTTCTAAATCCATCATACTGTGGACCATGATTCTGACACATAAGCTTGAGGAGGGGATAAAATTTAATTAATAAGTTAGACATGGTAAGTGATTAACAACAATAACAAATCGAAAATTATAACAATATACTATAATAAAAGATATATGAAAGTCCTCTTTCATATTACCTTACTAAGATGTACCTTCTACTTGTTATAATGTGAGATCAGATCAGCCTACATGACATTAGACTACTTCAAGAGTTGCTTGAGCCAGGACGAGCTCTGTGATATCTCTTGGACTGATCTGATAACTGGCACAGCCACTCAGAGGCCATGGATAATGTGTACAGCATGGGCACAGTAGGCAGAGATAATCCACATGCGTTGGTAGATGGTAAAGATTTCACTGGGGTCCTCAAAATCGTATACAGTTTACTGTGGGTCATATGTGGCTGCAACTCAGGGCACAAACCCATGGTGGAAACTGGGTACTACCATGCTGCATGGCAAATTGGCACACGATTGTTTCGACTCCTCAGGGATCATTCATCTAAGCAAATCTTCAGATGGGTTGCCTTCTTTCTAAAAAAAAGGTGTTGGTCAGAGACTGCCTGAGCACTGTATAGAGGACACTGGAAAGCTGGGAGTGGTGATGCATGCCTGTAATTCTAAAGGACTCTCAGTCTTGCTTGTCTGTAACCAGCTCTTAGATTCATTGATTCTTTGTGTTATTTATTTTAGTTTCATTAATATCTGCTCAGATTTTTATTATTTCTTGTCATCTTTTGGATTTGATTTGTTGTTGTTTTTCTAAATTCTTGAATTGCATCATTAGTAATTTATTTGTGCTTTTTCTGATTTTTTTTTTTTAATGTAGGCACTTAGAGCTATGAGTTTCCCCCAGGTGTTTTGTTGTATTGTGTTCTCATTGTTACTTAGTTCCAGGACTTTTTCATTTCTCGTTTGACCTGTTCATCATTCAGTACTGAGTGGGTTAATCTCTATGAGCGTATGTACTTAAGAGAGATTTCTTTGTTGTCAATTTTAAGTTTTATTGCATTATGATCAGATAAGAGACACAGTTCTTTCAGTTCTTCTGAATTGTGTAAAGAAAAAAATGTGTATGAATGCATGGGTTCACTGTGAGATTGGTTTACAACCAATAAGAGGTTGTATGGTATTAACTCGAGTCCATGATTAAGCTGTGAGTTTCTCAGGCTTTCAGTACCTTCAGCCACAATGTGTTGCACTGTTTGTAACAAGTTTGAGGACTTGAACCTGTCAGTCTTCTGAGTCTGAGGAACCTAGAGTTTGTGAACCAGACTCCTGGCCATCAGAAGAGTGATGCCTGTACAGTTTTTGTCAACTTGATATAAGCTAGAGTAATCAGGAAAGAAGAATTTCTGCTGAGAAAATGCCTCCATGAGATTGTCAGCAAGTCTCTGTTGCATTTTATTGGTTAATGAATGTAGGAGAGCCTAGTGCATTGTGGATAGTGCTACCTCTGGGCAGGCGGTCCTGGATTGTATAAGAAAGCAGGCTGTGCAATCCTTGAGAAGGAAACTAGTAAGCAGTGTTCCTCAATGGTTTCTGCTTCAGTTTTTGCTACTAGCTTCCTACCAGGCATGGCTTCTCCCGTTGAAAGACTGTAGCTTTTAAGTCAAGTAAACTCTTTTCTCCCCAGTCCCAAGTAAATACAATTGTCTATGCACCATGATGGGAAAAGCATTTGGAAGTACATGCTAGGGTACTTTTAAATTTGTGGTACTTGTTTTTTCCTGAATGTTGTGAAGAATCTGATTACTCTTAATTTGTAGCTGACATGCTTTTGCTTTTATTATTTTGTTAACATTCTTAACTGGAAATAATTTCCAAAATGCTTTCAAAATGCGTAAGGTTGGCAAGTGTATTAATATTCTAATGATCTGATTTTTCCTCCTCCCTCCTGAATCTATGTTTCTGCCTTAAAACCCATCTCAGGTCCTCACTTTACTTATCAATGCAGCCTACAAACCCAGTCGTGTCCTTCGTGAGCTCCAGCTGGACAAAGATTCTGTGTGGCATGGATGTGGGGAAGTCCTAAAAGCCAAGTGAGTAGAGTACCTCACCCTCTATTCTTGTAGCTGCTGCAGCTGTTTGTGGTAAAGAACCAGGCTGATTTTTTCTTTTTGATTTCTTTTATGTTATATGATAAAAATGAATTCTAAGAAATATAAATTTTACAAAACATAAACATAACACTTTTATTAGAGTGAAGATAGAAAAAATTGTTTTAAAACTTTTGTGAAAGTTTATGAACATTCACTACTGCTTTCTGACCTGAACTTTTTTTGCGGCAGGGTAGCAGTTGGCATATCATATTGTCCTTGAGCCACACTTTGAGGATCACTGCTCAGGATAAAGGAAGATTTAATAAAAAAGATGCTTTTAGAGTAATTAGTAAAAGTAGTACTTAAATTCAAGGCTGGGAAACAGAGCTCATTGATAGAGTGCTTTCCTAGCGCACTTCAGGCCCTTGGGTTGATCGCTCAGGTAAATGAATAAATAAGTGACTGCATACACATGTAAACTTTCACCTAAGATCAGAAAGCAAAGCCTTTGTCTTTCTTGTTTAAATAACTTAATTTTCAAGTTGTAGTGTACCAGATTGTCAGGGACTATCCTTGACAAAAATACCTCTTGCCAGGGTAGGGCATGGGGATCAGAAAAACAGTAAAGAGGATGAAGATGCAAACAGAATAATAAAAAGGAAAACACTGAATACTGGAATCACCTGCGTTTAATTTCCAGTTGCTTAAAATACCCCTGACCCCAAAGATAAGATAAAAAGACTGTATCAACATGATACAAGGAAATGAACATACTGATTGAAGGTTGTGGGCTACATTTTATTTCTAGAACAAGACAAGTATTGCTCACACCCCAGACTAAAACATTCTGTTGGCAAACCACTCACTGGGTGGAATCCATAGTTATCTCCTTAAAGGAGTAGGAACTTATTTGGATTCTTAGACTTTTGTTTGGAGTAGAAACAGATCTACTTCTCTATTCCTGAAATATAAGGTCTGGATATTAGCCATACCTGTTAACAATAATCTTGAGATAGCAGAACTCTACACCTAAATCTAGATTGGACCTTTGTTTGAGGTAGAAACAGATAATAACCTTGAATCAATAGAGATAAGTTCCAACTCTCTGACCTTTGGACAAGGTGAAATGGGCGCACATTTTTGGGCCTTCACACCAGATTTAAGTACAGAACTTTTTTTTTGTTTTGTTTTAAGTGTTCTGAAAGTACGGGGACTGGAAGGATGGCTCAGCAAATAAAAGCTCTGGCAGAGGACCCAGGTTCATTTCCCAGAAACCATATAGCAGCTCACAGCTATCTGTGACTCCCGTTCCAGGGCATCCAAAACCTTCACAGAGACATACATGCAGGCCAAACATAAGCACACATAGAATAAAAATAATCATTAAGAGAATTCTCAAGCTCTGAAGTCAAGTAAAGCTATTTTCAGCATACTTGTGTTAAATTTTTCTTAGGGTGAACATTGGTGCGATAAGTTTGGCATCTGATGTTTTCTGATTTTAGATATAAAGGGAAGAGTTATCGAGCTACTGTTGAGATAGTGAAGACAGCAGATCGAGTGCCTGAGTTCTGCCGACAAACATGTATCAAATTGGAATGTTGTCCTAACCTTTTTGGTCCACGGATGGTTCTGGATACATGTTCTGAAAACTGCTCCGTTCTTACAAAGACTAAATACAGTGAGTAATGGTTTTCAGATGTGTTAGCCTTAACATTTGTCATCTTACATCTTATAGAGATAGTCATGCTATCGGAGAAGCACAATCTTCTTCTATAAAGGATCAGATGATAATATACTGGGGTCATGTGATCTCATTCTATTTTGTTGTTTTATTATATTTTATCTTTTTAAAAAATCTTTAAAAATAGAACCAAGGAGGAATTCATTTTTGCAGAAAATTATATTAGAAAAAAATTATATTACTTTACTTCATAATCAGAATTATCCCCGCCCCCACTTGTTTCCTCTTTCCCTTCTTTTTTCCCTCCCTCCATGTGTGGTATTAGGTATTGAACCCAAGACTTCATGCATGCTAAGCAAACACCCTATCTCTAAGCTACATGCCAAGCCCCCCTTTTTTCTTTGTGTGTGTGTGTGGGGGGGGGGGTTGGAAGTTGTGGTCTTTGTTGGTTTAGTTTGACTTTTTTTTTTTTTAAACAAGGTCTTATTATGTAGCCCAGTTGCGCAGTATCACGCCCAGCTCTTGTTTTGAGACAGTCTTTCTGTATAGCCCTGACTGCCCTGGCTGCCCTAGAACTCACTGTGTAGCTTTGGGTTGCCTTGAACTTTCTGTCCGCCTTACTCAGCCTTCCAATTACTGGGCTTATAGGCATATACCACCATATAAGCTGTTGCATGTTTTTGTCTCTATATTCTAAATTTTAATTAAAAACAAGAAGTATTTAGAATACTCAGAACTTTTAATTCTAAACAAAGAACAAATTAAAGTTGAAGGACTTTTTCTTTTTTAACCATAAAAGACAATTGTAATCATTGAGAAATTTATTAAAGAATAAATAGTGGGTTGAAATAGAGGATCTAGAGATAAAGTGAAACTTGCGTAATCAGATGACTTTAACAAGGGTGACAGACAGTGAAGAAAGAACTGACATTATCTACCATGGCACCAGTAACAGTGAATATCCAAACAGAAAAACAAAAACCGAACTTTGTTTTTTTAATAATTCCATTTTAAAAAGAGAAAACCAATCCATAATATTAGGGAAATATCCTTAATGTGTGTGTCCAGCCAAGAATTCTCTCTAGAACATCTTATGAATTTCTACAACTCAGTAATATAAAAGGAAGTTATGAGATGACACAGAGCTGATAGCTGCATACCATTTTGAATATATTAACTACCACTGAATTGTGTACTTAAAATAGTTAATTGTATGTTACATGAGTTTCAGTTCAATTAATTTTTTTAAAAAAAATAGAAATATGTCTAGAATTAGTGATGATTTCACACAGCAGTTACTTCACTGAAGCCAGTAAATAGTAGACCGTCAGGTGAATTTTATATGTGAATATATCTCTGCAATTTTTTAAAAAAATTCCAAAATAAAAAGCAAGTTACAACTAGTGGGGCACTTATGCAGTCCTGGATTCAATCTACAAGTGTCACATTCTTTAGTTTTTTAAATAAAGTAAAAAGAAACCTTTAAACGATAAGAGGGTGGCACAAACATTGTGGAAGAAGATACACAAATACATAGTAAGCACATGGCAACAGCTCAGTACAGTTTGTTACTTGGGCAATGTAAGTTTGAGATTTGTAGTAACATGGATAGAACTGAAGTATGTTGTAATAAGAGGAACAACTCAGATACACAAATGTGGAAGCTACAGTTAGTAGTAGAATAGTGCTTCCTTCCTTACCAGAACCCGGGAAGAATGTGCAGGCAGTGGGGTGTAGTGGTTTTTTGGTGAGTACAACAGTGCAGTCAGGTTGCAAGGGCAGCTTTTCGTGTTCATGTGCACTTTGTGTGCACTCCTGTGTCGAGGCCCCAGGACAGAGGCCTGATGATGCTCAGCAATGCCATCTACCTCCTTTAAGACAAAGGCTCTTGTTATTTTTGGAGATAACTCTTAGACTGGTTATATGGAAGGCTAACTTTTGGCAACACCCTGTTTGAGCCTTGTTTGAGGAGCTAAAGAAATAGTTTTGTGACTAAGAGCACTTACTGCTCTTGCAAAGAACCTGAGCTGTTCATTACAACGTAATTAATTATGGTCAAAACCAGGATATGGCCCAAGTGCATATCAACAGTGAAATCGATGAATGGGTAAATCGATACTATAGAATCCTACCCACCAACATAAAGAATTGGCTACTTAAATAGGAAGCACAGATGAGACTAAAAGAATCATACTATATGAAAGAAGCATTTATAAACCAGTGCCCTCTGCAGGTGCTGCAGAGGCAAGTTCATCTGCAGTGAGGGAATCAGAAAAGTGGTTGCCTTGCAAATGAGTGATTGGGGCCTGAGAACTCTCTGATTGATGGAGATGTTGTCTACCTTGATAAAGTGAGGATTGTTTACATTTTTGCATGATAGTATAAATCAGATTATGTATTTCTCTGCTTATTCCAATGTGTGGAATTTAAACTACAAATGTGCTGTGCTAATGGAATCCTGTGGTTTTGAGGTACACAACAATAATGAAGGCACTTTTTTCCTTCTTTTTGGTCATTTATATTTAGCACACTATTATGGAAAGAAGAAAAATAAAAGAATTGGGAGGCCGCCTGGTGGTCATAGTAATTTAGCTTGTGCCCTGAAAAAAGCCAGTAAGAAGAGAAAAAGGCGGAAAAATATTTTTGTTCATAAGAAGAAACGGGCTTCTGCATCTGTTGACAATACCCCAGTGGGCTCACCCCAGGTATGAGATCTGTGACACATCCGTCCTTTATAGGGGCAAGTGACCGCTATTTTACAGTCTGCTATTTTTACATAGTACCGGTACATCTTTATAATTTCAATCTCTGCTCAGTAATGTTTTTGTGGTTCAGTGACTACTGGTTTGTCCTGAGTTTCAGTGAGATTTTTTTCCTTTTCTTTTAGGGAAGTGGGGGAGAAGATGAGGATGATGCAGATGATGGAGATGATGAGTCCTTAAGTGAGGGCAGCACATCTGAACAACAGGACGAGTTACAGGAAGAATCCGAAACGTCAGAAAAAAAATCAAGCTCATCTTCTCCCACCCAGAGTGAGATGTCCGCTCCATTGCCCCCAGACACACAGACGAGTAAAAAGGAACCCAACGCTCTTTTATTCTCAGATGATGAAAATAAGCCTCCTTCACCAAAGGTACCTTGTTGGAGGAAAAAAAAAATCTTTCATTTTCCTTTATATTCTGTCATTTATGGTGCTAGCTCACTTCTTTCCTTATGAACTTAGGAAGAATTTCTAGGGTCGGAGAGATGGTTTAGCAGTTAAGAGCACATCCTGCTCTTCTGGGGGACTCCAGGTGGATTTCTGGCACCTATTCCCTCAAGATTGCCTGGAATTCTAGTTCTGATGTCTTCTTCTGGCCCCTCTGTATACTGTGTGCATACATACACACACAAACACAAATAATAACAAAACTTAAAAAAATAATAAAGTGATCCTTGATGCTCTGGTTTTCATGTGTTTCAAGGATTATCTGGATATTATTTATAGAGGGACCTTCACAAGGAGCTGCTGGTTTTAAGTAAAAAAAAGTTTCATTGCTAGTTTATTTGCAACCTGCCTTTTGGTTTAGAGAAAAGTGTCATTTAAATAATTTTTTAGAATATGTATGGTTTTCTAGAAACAAATTATTTACCCATTTAATTCTTATTCACCTGTCTTGTTTAGCACATTTACTCTGTACATAAATGCACATTGTATGACTTATATAATAGTTCCAGCTACAGCTAACTTACTTTAGAACTGGTAGCGTATGCTTGCCTACCGTGCATAAAGCCCTAAGCTCAATCCCCAGCATAGTATAAAACCAGGTGTGTTGACATACATATTCTTTAACCCCAGTACTTGGGAGATGGAGGCAGGGAATCAGTTCAAAGCTATCCTGGGTGCCTCATGAAACCCCCTCTAAAATAAACAGAACTGTACTTTTAAAATGTCCCGTTAACAGGGACAATAAAAGATTTCTTCTTGTTGTTCTCATCTGAAATGACATTTGCCATAGCATCCTATCAGAGAACAACCAAAACAGTCCAGAAACACATTGGAAATATAAATAAATTTGATAAAATTCATTATTATAAGTTTCCCAGGTAGCTAATGCTTGTGAGCCTCTTATCTCCTTTGCTGGAAGAAAGCAGTCCGAGAGAGTGAGAATAGGGGCACGGGAGAGGTTAGTCTTAAGTCTACTTTAACTCCTGTCTTAAAGGATTATGGGATCTCTTTGGGGAGAGGTTTTTAAAATGTTAGTGCTTTAACCAATTGGCATCATCTTGTTGTTGAAGGAAATAAGGATTGAAGTTGATGAAAGGCTTCACCTGGACAGTAACCCACTGAAGTGGAGTGTGGCAGATGTTGTGCGGTTCATCAGATCCACTGACTGTGCGCCACTGGCAAGAATATTCCTGGACCAGGTAATCATGAATAGCATAATCTGTAATAATGTATGTCTGTTTGGTAAAGAGCTATGTGTATAATAGGCAAAAATTACAAGATTTAGGAAATAATATTTTGGTACAAAAGATTGTTATGGTTCCCTTTTGCTACTCATAGGACTTGTACCATAATTGCAGCAGATTATTGCTTCGTTTTCCCTCAAAATTGAATTCTATCCTATAAATATTTAAATGATTTAAATATTTAAAATCAGGCATCTATTAATTGACCTCATCTTTTTAAAAACAATGTTTGTTTGTTTTAATTTTATGTGCATTGATGATTTGCCATGGGTGTCGGGTTCCCTGGACCTAGAATTATAGACAGTTGTGAGCTACCATGTGGGTGCTGGGAATTGAACTCAGAACCTTTGGAAGAACTCAGAACCTTTGGAAGAACAGTCAGTGAACCATCTCTCCAGCCCTGATGCTTTTAAACTTAAAAAAGTTAGCATCTCTAATATACCAGACTCTAGAGTGGTGACCAGTTTTTATGCAGGTATGGTGAAACACGAATAGCTATGGAAGGCAGAAGATGTAGCTATATTCAGAACAGCATCTATGGCTCTTGCCCCAGTGCTTGGGTAGTTGTGGTAGGAGGCTCACAAGTTGGAAGCCAGCCTGGGTTACATAGTGAATTTGAAGCCAGTCTAGGCTACATAGTCAGACCATGTCCCAAAAATAAAACAAAGGCCTGGTCATCTTTGAAGTTTTTTATAATGAATTTTACAAAGTAGGAGAACATTAGTATTTTCAAATAGTTTTAGATTTAGAAAGAGTTCTTTAGTCGGGCGTGGTGTCTCACGGCTTTAATCCCAGCACTCAGGAGGCAGAGATAGTTGGATCTCTTGAGTTCGAGGCCAGCCTGGTCTACAAAAGAGTTCCAAGACAATCAGGACGGTTACACAGAGAAACCCTGTCTCAAAAAAAAAAAAAAAAAAAAAAAAAACAGAAGAAAAGAAAAAGAAAGAGTCCTTTAAAAGTATTTTTTCTTTTCACAATTAATTGTTAGTTACAGGGCTTCATAGATATCGAATTTCTGTTGAGCAGAATCTGTAGATTAATGTCTCAAGGCTGGTAAAATTTATTACTAACTCCGAAAGCTTCTCAGGGTGATGGAGTCTGGCACTTTTTAAAGGGGAAACTAATGCAGGGAAACAGAGAACTGTAGTTATGGCAGTGCAAGTAGGAACTGCCATGAAGAAGCTTCATTTGTGCGCATATCATGGACTCTGTTCTTTGTCCTCAACAGGAAATCGATGGGCAGGCCCTTTTGCTCCTTACCCTTCCCACCGTTCAAGAGTGCATGGACTTGAAGTTGGGCCCTGCCATCAAGCTTTGCCATCACATAGAGAGGATCAAGTTTGCTTTTTATGAGCAGTTTGCTAACTGAGGACAAGCAGGGGGAGCCGGGTCTTTAAAGCACAGTTCAGTAAACCGTTTGCCCTGCTCTCCAGGTGGCTGCAGTCGTCCTGGGGCTGTGGGCCCTGCAAATGTTAGCTAGCTTTCTTTGCACTTTCAGGGAAGGAGGACATGCACTGAGGAAGCGCAAGCAGCACAAAAATGGCTCTCCTGCAGTGGAAATACGACTTCTGCTCAGAAGATTGCAGTTTCCAAAAGTTGTGAGAAAACAACCTTAAAACTGTGGATTCCCATGAATGGAAAAACAGAGTGATCTGGACAGCACCTGTTTGGTTCTCTCCATTCTGTCCCTTCCCACTGTAGACTGAACTTGGTTCTTGAAGAGAGAGGACACAGCTTTAAGTCAGCACTGACTTGGGACTGTGCCTAAGGCACATCAGTGCTTCATTGTCATTGTGTTTTTAAGCTTTTTTTTTTTTTAAATTAAAGCAGTTCATTTTGGGGATAATTATATGGCTCTAGGGTTTTGAATGTATAGTTACACGTTGATCCATTTTAAAATCTATTCATAGGAGTTTCTTTTTTACTACCTCTGTTGATGACTGCGCTTACAGCCATGAGTGACATTTTTTGTATGATGCCATTTTTAAGCTGAATGCTGAAACTATGACAGAAGTTAGAGAAGGCCCTGTCTGCTTTCTTAACGACATCACGTGGCACTTACTCTAGTCCCTTAACCAGTTTCTCCTCAGAATTCTACTGTTGCGTCCTTCATCTTTACCCAGTTTTGGCCACCATTGTTAAGCGGCCTCACAAAGACTAATGTCTGGTGTTTCAGTTTTGAAAGATACTTAAGTGGCTTTTATTTATGTTTATTTTTCTCTAGAGTTTTTTGACTACCTCTGTTTCATCTCTGGAGTCTCTGCTCTCAGTGACAATCAGTGGTGTCCTTTGGCTCCACTGTAAAGCCCATTTTCCCGGTCTTCTAGGTGTGTCCAGGAAGAAGCACAGGAGAGAAACTCTGGCTTTGGGGGCTTAGTAGCGTCCTTGGTTATGAGTATTGAGGAGTCTGTGACAACGCCACCCCAAATGTCCCAGATCTTGCTTCATCTGGAAAGCCAATCAGAGCTGGTTGGTACTTGGATGGGAAAGGTAGTGGAGGAGTCTGGACCTCTGAAGCCATGCTTATACCTGTCTCCAGTCACACCAGTTTAAATTGAATGTAATTTACATTCTGAGAAATCCCATTCAGTAGCTCAGTGTTTGAATTTTTTTTTTTCAATTAAACTCAAGTTGACATGAAATTCCAGGTGAATTTTCACTTTTAATGACATTGTTAGCTATTATAGAAAATAGCACTTGCTATGTTGTAGCCATGAGTAAGGAAAGACATACTGCACACGTTGCCTCCTTTAAATGTTTTCCTTGTTGATTATTTATTTATTTATTTATTTATTTATTTATTTTTTGGTTACCTTGATCTCTACAGATTTATACCCTAAGCATTTTTTTCCTCAAGAATTGAAAATGTTTTAAAATTGCAAACCGAGTAAATTCTGAACAACTATACAAATTGCAAATATAAGGTAATATTACAAATTTAAATTGTGAATTTTTTTTTCTTTTCTCACCTCAACCCCCACTTGTTTTTATGAACACTGGGAAAGTCTGTAGACTGGATCCTGTTCTTCATTGGATAACTCTTGACCTGACAGCCAAGTCTTAAAACAGTGACTATTCACATCGTCACCATCAGGCATATCTGGAAGAAGCTTCATCTAAGTAACAGCTCACTGTCTGAGCTCACTTAGAAATCCAGCTTTTAAAAAATAACTGGAGTTCTCATGCCGCTGGAGAGAAACGTACTTGATAGTAGTAATAAATAGCTGGTATTGGCAGGCTGATTTGGGGTGGCTGTCTTCATAGAATTTCCCGAGACCTCAGCAGTTAAGTCAATACAAGAGGGGGGTCTCCTGAGAACCTAAACATATACCTGTAGTAAAAGGAGGGGTGACAGCAATCACTGTGCCATTATGTCGTTCTATCAGAGATGACTGGCCCTAAGTAGTCCCGAGTGGGGGAGGGGTGGGGCACAATGGTCTTGTCTGACTGTACCATCATTAGTTTCTGCTTTATCCTGTAGAAAGGCCAGTCATAAATTAGGCGAGTGAGGAGAGCACACTTACTGGGATACGGCATGCTCTTGTCTGCCCCATCCCTCCTCCCAGGTGTCACACATAAGAGGATTGTATGAGAATTCCGCAAAAAAACTTTTTTAAAGTATAAAATCCTAATCCCAGATTGGGTATGGTGGTGCATACCTCTAGTCCCAGCACTTGGGAAGTGGAAATGAGGATCAGAAGTTTAAGATCATCCTCAGCTACACAGTGAGTTCTGGGCTAGCCTGGACTATATGGGACCCTGTTTCGTTCTGCTTTTGTTTTGTTTCCCATTTATCTAACAAAGATGCTAGGGTTAGGTTGGGTAGGAGTGATGTTCAGTTATGATCATTCTGAGATTCTTAAGGTGGTAATACCTTGCATTGTTGGGGAAGGGGTTTGTATTTTGGACATTTGTATGTGAAGTCTGTTTCTGAGAAAGCCAACCTCATAAATTTATTAGAGGTGTGTTGTCTGGAGTTTCCCTGCACTTGTTCCCACAGCTTGCCTACTGTCAAGTTTTTTGTGATCTATGTTTAACTTGGGTTGACAAACTTAGAAACACATGGAAGGCCTCTTCTCCTAGACCTGAGAAGTTAGCGAACTTAAACTAGACTTTACAGCTATGCTGGTCTTTTTAGCCAACCGTTGACTTGTTCGTGCAGATTGGCCCCAATGTTTTGACTATATTTCCTGGGTTTCTTGTGACTGCTATTTTCCTTTGTGAGCCACCTTCATCCTTTTAAAGTATAGGGATGCATTAATGGAGCCTTTGAATTCTATCTTTAGCCTTTCTATAGCAATGTACTTGGTTCCCTGTGTTTATAATATGGATCCAGGAAAGATATTAGTCAACCTCTGGAAAGGATGATCTTGGTACATATTTATGAATTATGATAGAGGCAGGCTTAGAAAACCACCGAGTTTGGCCTTCGTGTGTCTCTTTTCCTAGAAGTAAAATGTTTTTCACTACAAGGGAAAGAGCATCGGACCAAAGCTTCTCAAACACTTGAGTACATTTTACTTGCCCTCTAGAGCCGATTCAGTTACTAGCATGATGCCCTGAATACAGCTTAAGGCATGTAGGGCTTACAACACCCACCCCTCTCAAGCCAGCACTGTTTCTAAGAGACACAGAACATCAGGGAACCTAAATGAAAGGTAACAGCAATGTAAAATCATTGTAAAACCTGTCACTGATACTTATTGTTACTTGGTACCTCTCAGCAAAAACTTAGATTGAAGAGATTCTTTTCTGGTTTCATTGATTATTAGAAGTGCTGGCAGTCTTTGGACTGTGAAAACACAGTGAGTTCAAACTTGTCTTACATACTGGGGATATTCCATGTGTGTGCAGATTCATACAGGTCCCTAAGTAATCTGTTTTATCAGTAGGACGTATGTTGTCCTTTTGAAGTGAGGAAGGCAAATCACTAACAGAAGCTAAGTAGAAAACTTGAGCTAACAAGATACTCCCTCTGTAAATTTGGATGTCTCCCGTCTTAGGACCTTTGTATGTTGCTGTCTTGTGGCCATGGTTTTGATTAGAAACTGTAAGGGCAGAGCCTCCTGTACAACCAAGAAGTAATGGTCACTTTCCCAGAATTGGCTTTATTCACTTTGAATGTTTTACTTATGAATTTTGATGATTGCTTTGTATGAGAATATATGTACTTGGAGAGTTTGAATTTATCCGCATAAGCTACCCATTGACCTAAAGTTTTGTTGTAAGAAATCTAAGACCAAATGGATCTGGTTCCAGGTCCATTCATTCACTTGGGAATTGTTTTCCTCAGTGCTTGTCTTCAGCCACACCGGTAGCTTTGCTCTGTGAGCAGCATTAAGTTTGAGACATAAGGTAATGGTTATTAAACGCAGTGCATGGTGATTTTTTTCTTGCTGCTGGGTTTAAGAAGTCAAAATTTCACAGGAACCTGAAGAAACAGGAATGAAGTTTGTCGGGGAGGTCTAAGACTCTGTTTGTGCTTTTTCTAACTAGTCTGGCGTGGCATTCTGGCCTACCACAGTGAAGCATTGTGAAAGGGAGACAGGCAGCAGAGTCACCAGACAGTTGTCACTACAGCCGTAGAGTGCTCCGGGGAGGAGGGGGTGAGCTTGCTGACTTTGCTGACCGTGAAGCCGTGTCACCGTTGCTAATGTGTGAGAGGGACTGTACTCAGGATGTGTGGAGACTCAGGCCTAAGGGTTCCTGTATGGCTTATCTGCCTGTGTCTAGCTTGGCAGAATAGGGGCGGTCACAGAATGTTGATCAGATCGCACAGCAGATCGCAAAGCAGATTGATTGGTAGAGACAGAAGTCTACAAAGCTTAGGCAGTCTCTAGTCCGTTTGAGGTCTCTGGAGAAAATAGTTTGAATGTTTCTCTGGAGAGTGCTCATTTGCTTTTCCCTCACCTCCCTCCTCTTTTTTTAGTTGAATTTTCTCTAATGACAATCAGAGGCCTGCCAGGATTGGGACTCCAGGCTGGTTCCAGCTCTGTCCTTAGGCCTTTCCAGTACTCTCTCCTTGGAAGTAATGCACCTTATTTAATGTATTTCGCTTTAAAAAAAAAATCAAGTTGCTTGTTTGAAACAAAATGAGATGCTTTTGGCTTTGTATCCTACCTGCTTGCTGTTTTTACTCTTAATTTAAAATTTATGCATTGAAGACCAAGTACACTTAAGGAGAAATATGCACTAGAATACCTATTTCCCATCAAGTTTGATGGTTATAATTTTAAAGGATTAAAAACAAAGCAAAACTATTTTGAATGAATATATGTGTGCTTTTCTTTCTTTTGGCAAATTAGTAAGTTTGTGATATGACCGTTTTAAGTGGCTGTGAGAAAATTAAACAGGTATTAGTTTGTCTTTAACTTCATTTGTGCTAATTTCATAGTGAGAAAAGCTTCTGGCTAAATTGCATTCTCCGAGACTCTTTCCAGTGGGCCTCAGCTTCATTGCTAAGTACATTCTCCCAAACTCTTTCTAATGAGTGAGAGAGACCCTTCCTACAAATAAAGGTCTAGAAGCCCCCTGTTTTTTGCTATCCCTTCTGGATTTAGATTTTTTTTTTTTTAAGTTTCTAAGAAGAGATGGAGTAAGCAGAATCCTCTTGTCTTTTGTTCTCTGCAGGCCTTAGAATCATCCATATATGAATGTGTACAGGGCAGTGTTTTATCCCAAACATTTTTCACCTCTATGTGCAATTTTTTCTTGAACTATGTCTTCAAGTAACTAATAATCTTTTTGTTTGTTTGTTTTGTTCTGTTTTTCTAGACAAGGTTTTTCTGTATAGCCTTGGCTGTCCTAGAACTTGCTCTGTAGACCAGAATGGCCTTGAACTCAGAAATCCACCTGCCTCTGCCTCCTGAGTGCTGGGATTTGTGTGTGCCACCATCACCTGGTTGTAACTAATAATCTCATGCCCAGTTATAGTCTCTTCTGCTTTAAGACACATTCTCTGGTTCTCCTGAACATGAACTGTATCTGTTAGGTGTTTTTTTTGTTGTTGTTTTTTTTTTTTTAATAAGATCCTTCTTGAACTTACAGGGAATAATGCAGTTTTAACTTTCCTTTTTCCATTTTGTTTCTTAATGTTTCCCCCATGGTCAGTAAATTTGTGGAGAATTTTCTAATTTAAGTTAAAATTCAGTTAAATTTACATTTGTCGTATGCTAAATCTGTTGGATTCAAGAGTGAATCAAGACTAGTTCTACCTTCAGGAAGCTCATCCTCAGGTCACACAGCTGACTCTGTCCTACCTCTAACAGTCTGAAAAGCATTGCACACAAGGAAAATGTGCACACAGTGGGGAGGGCGGTCAGGTGGGCTTGCTGCGTGAGCAGGAGGAGGAAGCAGCATCCATACAGTCAGAATGCTATATGAGTAGGTCGAGAGGCTGGAGAATTGCACTTTCTTATGAATTATAGAGTTATTATTCCTGCTAACCTAGGAAATCTTTAGATATCATTTAGACCTCTTTGATAATTAGAACTTCTTGGGGAGATTTCTTCTGAGATATTATTTATTATTCAACAATAATAATAAGTTGGACCTGTATCACACATATGTTCATTGACATGGAGCAGGAAGGTCAGGGCTCTGGGACTCCAATAGGAGTCTAGAGAGACACCAGAGAAGTCTAGGAGTCTGGGTAGGAAGAGTTAAATGGGTGTGTGTCTGCACACTGGTATATTGAAGATCAGCAAATATCCATCGTTAGCATTAAAAAAAAATCAGGCTGGGTGTGGTGGTGTATGCCTTGAGGCAGAGGCCGGCAGATCCTGGTCTATATAACATGTTCCAGACCTGGTTTTAAAAAAAATTCAATTTGGGGGCTGGAGAGATGGCTCAGAGGTTAAGAGCATTGCCTGCTCTTCCAAAGGTTCTGAGTTCAATTCCCGGCAACCACATGGTGGCTCACAACCATCTGTAATGGGGTCTGGTGCCCTCTTCTGGCCTGCAGGGATATGTGCAGGTAGAACACTGTATACATAATAAATAAATAAATAAATAAATTCAATTTGTAATCATACCTCATAAGTGAGCAAAGCAGGGACATGCACATGCTAACTTCTCATTTAAATTCACTCTTCTAGAAAAAGTGGCTGGGTTGAAGGAAAAAGGAGCCAAGTTTAGTGCTCCCTTGGAGGCAGAGGTGAAAGGATCATTTGAGTCCAGAAGTTCCAGATCAGCCTAGGCAATTCAACAAGACCCCAATCTCAAACAACACAGCAAAATCAGACTGGAGTCACGGGCCTGTAATCCCAGAGCTTGGGTGCAGGCTAGGGATCAGGAGTTCAAGGCTATCCTTGTTTGTCCATCCGCCTGGACTATATAAAATCCTGTTTCAAAACAAAAACTCCACAAATTATGTTTAGGATTCGGGGGACGACTCACTTTGGAGCATTGGCTAATGAATCTAATCCTCTGGCTTTTGACCATAAAAGTAGAACATTCAGTGTCTGGCGTGGCAAGAAAACAGTCTGAGATTGAACACCTTGCTTCAGCATAATGTAGCTGCAAGTTACTGGGCTCCATTTCTGAAGTGGTGAATCCAAATCTGGGGGCAAAATCCATGTCCAGGGATAAAAGATTCACTCACCTTGAAGGGTAAAGGGATCTAACGACAGACTTAATCACTGTCCCTGACGCTACCCTCAAGACCTAGATAAAGCACCAGATTCTGTGGATTTTCTTTAACACAGTCTGGCTCACCTGCTCTGTCTACCTGCAGATTCCCCTCGGCCCCGCCCCCTAGCCCTGGCCGGAGCCCCGCCCCCGGAGAGGCGAAGCCCGCCTCACGCCTGGCCCGACCAATCAAGCTCTGCGATCTCAGACGTAGGGTTACGCGCGGCGCCGGGGCGGCCGCGAGCTGAGGTACCGGTTCCCAGCTCCAGGTCCCGGGTCGCGGCTGGGCGGCGCGGCCCGGGCTGCAGCGAGGCCGGGCGGCCCCTCGCGCCCTGCCGCCAGGCCGCCATGCAAGGCTCGGGAGGGAACGTGAGCCGCGGACTGCCGGGAGGGCCGGCCTCCACGGTCGCGTCCGGGGCGGGCCGCTGTGAGAGCGGCGCGCTCATGCACAGTTTCGGCATCTTCCTGCAGGGGCTGCTCGGCGTCGTGGCCTTCAGCACATTGATGCGTGAGTCCGGGACCCCAGCTTCTCCCCGGCCCCGTCGCCGGCCGCGGGCCAGCCCCACCCCAGGGACCCTCCTGCCCGTAGAGTTCCGGCCTGGGGACCGGGCCCTAGGGCTGCGGTGCCTCCCTCTCCCGCGAGACCGTGCTGGGCGTTCGCAGTCTGGAAGGGAGTCCCGGACCCTCACACTCCTCGGCTTATCACGGCTGCTTTGGGCCAGGAGTGCCCCTGCCCCTCGCCGTCTTAGACTTGTCTCTTACCAGATGCCAGCCTAAAACTGACCCCTCCTACCTTGCCATCGCAAATTAAGGGTACCTCACTTTCCGGTACGGACCGAGATCCACTCCCAAAGGTGGCACGGCTCTCAGCTCCTTCTCCGGGTCTCCTCTCAGCCTCCCCTTGGCTCTTAGACCGCATAACCTTAAGTCCCTACTAGTCTAACGCTAGACTCTTCTGATCCTTCTCTCCTGACGTTTGCCCTCTCTGTTGGCGTTTGGATCCCGCACCCACACCCACCTGTAGTGTTCGGGCTGTGCAGTCCGGGTCACCACATTGCCGCGCGTCCCCAGTCCTAATCCCTCCATTGTTCAGGAAAGATCCTCTGGTACTGCCTTGGTCCCCACGTCTCATTCTTCTTTTTCTTCTCCACCTGTTCAGCTCTATCCCAAGCTTTCCTAATTAAGTTGTATCTGAAGTTTCCTGGCTGTTCTTCCCAAACCATGTTTGTTATTTACAGTCTAAATTTCCTCTTTTTCCGTGAAACTCTGACATCCTGGTTGGCTCGATGGAGAAGGCTATAGTGTCTCAGGATCTCCATGCTGAGTCCTAGAGGCTCTTCTCTGAGAGTTTGGTAGTAAGGAAGGAAGTCTCATTTGGCCCTTGTCCCGTGGGCTGGGGTAAGGACCTTGAGTCCCCCCCGGGGGGTTAGAAGGTTGTGTTGTTTCCCTGATGGGCATCCTCCTGGTATTAAAGGATGGAGGTATATTCGCGCATAGTCCTGGGCGTGTCCCAGGGATGTGTTAGAGGGGAGTTATAGCTAAGCTGTACTGTGGCACTAATTCCAAAACTGATTTGTTCTCAAAACTGTTCTCTGTAGGCAGAATGGGGAGTTCCAGCAACATCTGCTCTTCAGTCTGGGGGGAGGGGAGCTCCTGCAGCTGAATGGAGATGTTGGGTTAGCCTTGCTTATCTGTAACAAGAGGTTTCTTTGGGCAAACTCTCGTAGGCTTCAGTTGTCCCTGGAGAGCCTCTGCTCCTGGCCACTCTTTCTGACTGCTTGGCCCTGAACAAGAAGCACCCAACTGTCCATGTGTTTGTCACTTTTTCTTTTCCATCCCTGCTTGCCTTGCCATTTTCTCTGCTCATTCGTTCGTTCCCACAGTAACAGTTGGTGACAACTTAGCCAGACTGGGTCGCTGACAGGTGCACACGCTGCTGTGAATGGGCCTTCTTCCTGTCTCGCTTCCTCTCCTCAGCCGCCATTCCTTTCTCCGGAATGACAGGTCTCATTTTTATTATGCAAAACCTGAGATTTTGACTGTTCTCCTGGGCTCGATTGGTGCTATTGGTCCGGTGTGCCCCCTCGGGTTTCGCACTTGTGATTCCGAGAGTGAGATGTGATTGTGTCAGGGCAGAGTTGCTCACTGATGAGAACTGTGCTGTGGTCAGTGTGCGCAGAGTGGCAGCACTGGCCCTGCGAGTCTTCAGGGACACTCTCACCTCCTTCCTTAATCTTCAGCGCGAATTTCTGTACACATCCCAGTGGGCTAGTACTTCCTGCGAGCATTTACTAACTTAACTGAGAAAGTAGATTCCCGTTCAGGAGAAGGCTCCATGTGGAAGAGGTTCATGAGAGTGGCCGTTAGGCGCTGAGTGATGAACCGGGAGGCCATACCGGGTCATCCTGGACCTATGAAGCAGGTAGAGCAAGTCCAGATGATGAGACTGCGGCGTGACCAGGAGGTCCAACCCTTTGCAGCACAGTCTTGGCCCTGCTGAAATATAACTGTGGGGCTTTTCCATTTTGAATAGCCAGGAAGGGATTCCTAAGGGGCTGCCTTACACTGTGGACTAGATTTTTGCTGGAGAAGCGCATCTGCTACCAGCTGTTGGTCTACATCTGCTTTCCTGGTCACAGAATCTGTCTGTCTGAGCTGCTGGAACCAAGGGCCAGCCTTCTGAGCCAGAGCCCAACTGGAAGCCC